TGGCTACAACCCATTCAGTCTAGACTTTTATTATCAGGGAGCCATATATCTCTGTGTGGCTTTTAACGTTTTCTGATTTGCATATTTGTATTTGAGGAGTCATGGACGCGGGTGGCGCTGTGGGTAAAACCTCAGCGCCTAGGACTTGCCGATCGCATGGTCGGCGGTTCGAATCCCCGTGGCGGGGTGCGCTCCCGCTGCTCAGTCCCAGCACCTGCCAACCTAGCAGTTCGAAAGCACCCCCGGGTGCAAGTAGATAAATAGGGACCGCTTACTAGCGGGAAGGTAAACGGTGTTTCCGTGTGCTGCGCTGGCTCGCCAGATGCAGCTTGTCACGCTGGCCACGTGACCTGGAATTGTCTGCGGACAGCGCTGGCTCCCAGCCTCTAGAGTGAGATGAGCGCACAACCCTAGAGTTGTCAAGACTGGCCCATACGGGCAGGGGTACCTTTACCTTTTTTTTTATTTGAGGAGTCAGAGTTGGTGACTTTGTTTTGTTTTTGATTATTGATTCATTTATATTTATTTTTAAGAGGAAACAAAAGGGGAAACACTGACATTTGCAAGTGCATAACCACAAAAGCCTGTACTGGTCTGTATGTTACCTAAAATATGTACTACACCTATAAAGTGTGCTGTATCTACACTTTAGATCCAGCAATTAACACAGAATCTTCCCAGTAGGCCAAGGGCTTACCATGTTGCTGTTCTAGAGCACGTTCAATGTGTCACTGAGGTCTTATGCACATCCATGCTTTCCACTTATGTGCAATTAATAGACATACCTATACACTGAGGAACTGAAGTCTCATAGAGTGCAGTTGCTTTGTTTTCTCCAATCCTTCCAGCTAGTAAGCCCCCTCGGATATTTAAATAAGTCAGGGGATAAATCTTTTAAGTAAATGAAGTGTCAACACAATTGCTTTACAATCTCAGTTGCTATAAATCAGGCCAAAAATTGAATATGTTTACTTAGATGGATCTGGGAAGCACATTCCTTGCAAATAACAAAGTAACATTATAGGAGGGACACAAACAGCATGGGAGGGACCCATAAAATTTGCCCACTCCAACCCACTTTTTCTCCCTTAGATCCAAAGGCTGGTAAACATGTCTTAAGAAATGATTACACGGAAAACAACATTCACAACAGACGGACTAGACTAAGCTTCAAAGTCCATAGTGGTTACAGGTTGCACAATATTACACCATTTAGTTGAGCCCTGTATATGTATTTCACTAATGAGATCACAGCCAAATCAACAATTCCAAACATTTTTTCAATACGTTTATTCAGAAAAGCTATGACATATTGCATAACATCCATTGACATTATCAGCATCTGGACTTTGTACAGGTTCTGACCTCAAATTTTGATGTTTAAGTCAAAATGACTTAAAATCACTATGGGAACTTTTTTGCCAGGTGTATATAATCTTTCCCTCCCTTATCCATGGACAAACAAGTGCAGGTCCTGGAAACTCAGCTAACAGTAAACAGTCTCAAGTACACTACAGTCAAGATAATATTGATTGTAAAATCTCAACACTTCTGGGACATTTTTGGGACTCAGAGGCTTAATGCTGGATTTAACATTTTCTAGATTATATAAAAATCCATGAAGTGAAGCCATTAAATGTATGCTATTTAGGTGCCAGGTGAAGATTTGTTTTACTTGCCTAGGCCTTTTAGATAATGGAGTTTTATAATATTTGAATTGTCTGCTCCATCTTTTTTGCTGCTGGTGTTAGTATGCAATGGTTTTTGTATTTACTGTAATTTTTATTTTCAATTTTTTGTTTATGGGGGGGGTGGGCAAGTTTCTCCTGAAGAGCAGGGTATAAATGTTTTGGGGTTTTTTTAAAAAAAAATCATTCCAGTGGGCTATAAAAGTAGGAAACATGTTCTTGTCTTTACTTCTTGAGATTGCCATGTAAAATAGCGGACCCCTCTATGGCCGCCCGTAAGGAATCATGTATCTTTGTTGAACTTATGAAACTACTTTATGCCAAGTCCAACTCCTGTTCAATCTAGGTCAGAATTGTTTAACAACTACCAACTTAAATGACTTTTCAAGGAGGATTAGACCCATTGATGGAAAGTTAGGCTACCTACGGCTACTAGTTATGATGGCTATATGCTGTCTCCAGGATCACAGATAATCTGCCTCTGAATATCAGTGCCTGGGAAACATCAACAGGAGTTGGGGCCATTGCCCTCATGTCTGGTTTGTCAGCTTCCCAGGAGCATCTGGTTGACCACTGTGGGAAGCCGTGGGCCTTCAGTCTGATGCAGCAGAACTCTTCTTCTCTTCTTGTTATTTAAAATTTGTATATTCTGCCTGTGAGTGTAAACTCTTTCAGGGTAGTTTGCAACATACACTGAAATATAATTAAAAAATTATATATGAATAAAATACTGGGGGACCAACAACATATAAACCGGGCAATCCATTAAAATAGGTCCTCTTCTCATCAGCTCATGACATGAGATAAGGAAGTGGAACTTGACCTAACAGCAACACTGCTCTGTTGACCAAGCAAAAGGAAAAGGCCAACTTTGTAGTGTTTGTGTCAGGCCTGCTGATCCAGAAGCTTCATACCGCCTGCCAATTGCAGAGGGGGATGTTGCATATGCCACTTCCTTTGTATGTCTAAAGAAAGCTCCGAGGCTCTAGTCTACATGGCTAGGGATAGCTCATTGGGTATGTCCCAGCCTCATACCCAAAGATTACCCTTTCAAAACCAGGAGTCCCTAAAAGGCATTTGAACCTCTTGGCTGGATTGGCAACCAGTGGGGGGCAGGGGAGCAGAATGGACCATCCAGTTATTTTTACAGTGGTACCTCGGGTTAAGTACTTAATTCGTTCCAGAGGTCCATTCTTAACCTGAAACTGTTCTTAACCTGAAGACTACTTTAGCTAATGGGGCCTCCCGCTGCCGCTGCGCCGCTGGAGCACAATTTATGTTCTCATCCTGAAGCAAAGTTCTTAACCCGAGGTACTATTTCTGGGTTAGCGGAGTCTGTAACCTGAAGCGTATGTAACCTGAAGCGTATGTAACCCGAGGTACCACTGTATTTTGTTTTCATATTAATTGCCAGAGAAGAAAGGAACATCCCCCTCATAAAAGCTATAATGCTTAAGTGAATAGACAGCTTTTATGCTGTGGTCTGAAAGAGGACCTAGCTATAACTACTGGCCTCCAACCTAAACCCTCCCAAAACCTCTGGCCTCAGCCTCTAAACTTCCACCTCCACTACAGCCAACTCTCATACTAAACATGCCGTCTTTGGAAGTTATATAACCAGATATTGTTTTCACGTTGGTAGAAGAAATGCTATCTGTAGCTTTAAAAACAAACAAAAAACCGAGTAAAAGCATTGTGTTGATATTTAATCACTTGCTTCTTGTTACCAGCTCTTAGCGTTCTGCAAACATCCTTGTCATTTCCTGCCTCAGAAGTGCAAAATCTTAGATGAAGCCCCAGTTCAGCCCCTGTTTGCTGTCTATTCTGTCCTCAGGACTTAGCTCCATGCAGAAACACAGAGAGGATGGGATCCTCTGAATAAGGCCAACTGCTGATTTGAGGTAGCTTTGGCAAACTGCTGTGCCACCTGCTGTATGAGTATGTGGGTCCTTACCATATAGCATGGCAGAAAAGACTTTTTGTTTTGCTTTCTTTAACTGTAAGGAGTGTCAGATTTACTGCAAGGCGGCCTCCTGGTAGCCACCATTTTATTTTTCCCCATGGTGCACTGGACGGACACATTTGGGCCACACCCACCCAAGCTATTTAACACACTTATACAACTTTAATAGTCAAGACTTTCCCCTAAAGAATCCTGGGAAATCTAGTTTGTTAAGGGTGGTGAGAGGTATTAGTAGAGCCTTATTTCCCTCACCAGTGGACTGCACTGGAGGAAGCTTTGCTCCGGTCTGCTCCAAGAGAACAAAAAGGGTCTGGTGCTGCTCTCGGCAGCATAGTCAGCCCCAGATCGTCACCCACCCAGCCCACCTCTAATCTTGTTTTCTTGCAGACTAACCTTTTCTTTCCAGGTATGTGGGCGTTGCTGTGGTTGTACGGTGGTTTTTGTCTTCAGAGCCAGGAAGGAATTGTCCCTGCTTTGCAGGTTTCGCCTTCCCCATAGCAATTGTCACAACTTTGGTGGCTTAGGCCTTCAGTGGAATCCTTAGTCAAACACCTAAAAGAGGGATGAAGTGGTGACTCACACGCTTCTGGTGGCATGGCAGATGGGCCATAGTGCTGTCCTCAGCGATTTGGGGAGGGACCAGCTGTGTAAACACGCATTTTGTGTTGGTCCCATCTTCCCCTTACTGACCCTGTCATGCCTCAGACCCCCAGCAAGGGGCTGAGAGGGATACATGCCCAGTGCCTATGCCAAAATTTACCTACATCTGAATTCAATAAAGTTGTGGTCATTTTAATCTCAAATATATGTTGCTATGTCTTCTCCTTTCACCGTGAGGCCTGGCTCCTAGGGGAGGGGGGCCGCGCCCGGGTATGCAACTATTTCACATTATTTTCTTTGAATATTTATCATGTGTATACTGTACATATACTTCTGTGTAAGGTTACACTTCTTTCCCCTGCAAAAAAATTGTTTATATACATGAGTATGCATGTAATAACATGAAAGAAAGGGGGAAACACAAAAATAAAAAATTACTCCCTCCTACCCCTCTGCAATACACCAAACAACTTATCTGTGTCCTATTGATTATTACACATATAACCCACCTTTCCCCCAAGGGGCTCAAGGTGGTGTACACAATTCTCTGCCTTCTTGTTTTTCTTCACAACAACCCTGTGAGGTAGGTTAGGTTGAGAGACAGTGACTGGCCCAGTGACCTTCATGGCTGAGTGGGGATTTGAACCCTGGTCTCCCAGGTTCCATACTGTGTCTGTGCCCTGCTGTGACTACTGTCTCCTAATGACATACTAATCCCTAGTAATCCATGCACCCATCTCTGTGACAGCAGAAGCCAATGGCATGAGATGGGAGCAGGGAAGTTCCCAACACCCTGATGTCTTCACACAGTCTGGTCTTGACAAAGTCTTAGAGGATACAGGATGAAGAGGAGGTATCCAATACATTCTTTCCCATTTTATGTAATTGCCTTGTTCATTGTAATGTGCAGATCTGTCTTAAAAGCAATGCTTTTCTATTTCAGCTGTTAGGAATTTGAGGAAATCCTGGTGCTTTATTGCTTTACAAGCTTAAAACAGATAATTTGCTGACCCGAGGGTTCACAGTCTAAAATAAGAAACATAAAACCTGGCCTTTGTTGGTAGATAATCTTTGGGGAAATGAATAAAATGCAGGAACTGATTATGAGGATGCTTCCTAGCGCTTACGAAAATGTTTCTGAAACTCCCCCCCTCCAAAAAAAATCTTTTGATGCCTGCTGCTCTCTGTCCCTGTCAACTTGCTCTTTTGCTCTGTGGATTGCAGCATTTACAAATATCTCTTCACCTAGGCTGTGGGGGAACAGAAGGAGTGGCTGACACATGTAGTTCCAGCCTCAGAGGTCTAACACGTAGGGATTCTGAGATATTGCAGGCATTGAGCCAACACAGTGAGGCATGAAACCATTGTCCCTAGGAATTAATTTCAAAATAATGTTTCCCATGCAGTACAGAGTTCTTAAGACAGCCAAAGGAGAAAGAAATCTGTTAAGCTCTTGGTGTAAATTGTTACATGCACTTACATTCAGGCATCTTATTATCCTCAAATCAGCCAGAGAACTTGAGCTTAAGCAAGATTGGTCCAGTCCTATCCTCCGTATCTAAGATGTTTTGCTTTACAGCACCTTTTAAGATGTTGGGGAATTCAAACCAGGGACTCTGAAAAAAGGTGTTACCAAATAGTACCTTTTCCCTTCCATGTTGTTCCTACACTAGTTGCACACATGCAATTATTACTGGTAACTCAATGGGCTCCTCTCCCTCTCCTCCCTTCATGTACCCCACACCATACCCCAATTCTGCTGTGGAGGGTTAGGGGAAACCCCAAAACAGATTTAGGGAATGTGCAGGTGGGAGGAGAGGAAGAGAATGTACCATTGCACAAGGAGAAACACTTGTGCTGCTGAAACAAGATACTTAGTGCTATACAGTGGTACCTCTAGTTATGAACTTAATTTGTTCTGGAGGTCTGTTCTTAACCTGAAACTGTTCTTAACTAGAGGCGTGCTTTCACTAATGGGGTCTCTTGCTGTCGCTGCGCCCCCGGCACATGATTTCTGTTCTCATCCTGGGGTAAAGTTCTCAATTTGAAGTAACTCTTCCAGGTTAGCAGAGTTTGTAACCTGAAGCATTTGTAACCTGAGGTACTACTGTATTGGCTACAACTCTCAGTCTTCCTCTTCTGTGTTAACTGAGGAGGCTGGCAACTGTGGACAGAGTATGTTTGCAGAGCCAGTAGCCGTCTTGTATTGTCTTGGAAAAGAAGGCATTTTGGCTCTATGTGCTTTGAGCTACGGAAACCCTGAATTGACACTTGAGAGTTCTGTATTCTTCTGTGACCTCCCATATATCACTAAAACACACCCTATTTTCAGAAAACAAAATAAAAAACATTCCTTCTCTGCTAGTAAAAAACAGTAACTCAGGAGTGAAACAGGTTCTAGCCAAGCCCCCTCTCTGCTGGGGCAGGTGCAAGGTATTTTGCTGCCTGAGTCAAAGGACAAGATGGCATTCCCATCCCACAAAGAGAAGCTAACTGGGCCAGCAGTTAAATTTTGCTTCAAACCTGGTAAGTAGATAGCAGCTTTCACCACAACTGAGGCAGTAGGACAGATCAGGGAGCCTGGGACAGGCATGAGACAACTAAGGGGAATGGCTGGAGGGCTCAGACAAAATATTCAGGGATGTTTCCTCTCAGGCTCTGCCACCTGAGGTGATTGCCTCCTTCTGCCTAATTGTAGAAGTAGGGAGAGTGCATTTTTGTATGTTTGCTTTGTATTGTTTTTTGCCAAAGGAGAGCATTAAAAATGTGTTCCTTCACTTGCAGTCTGCAGTACCTTCTACTAACTCAATACTTTTTCTCATGACTTTTCCCTGCATTTTAATGCATGGGTAGACCACACCATATTTTACCTATTAATCTGAAGAGATGGCTGGAGACTTGTAGAACCTTATAGGATCATAGGAAGCTGCCTTCTACCAACTCAGGCCAGTAGCTCAGTATTATCTACACTCAACGGTTCTCGAGAGTTTCAGGCAGGGTTCTCTCCCAGCCCATGCTGGAGATGCCACAGGTTGAACTTGAGACCTTCTGCATGCAAAACAGATTTTCTACCTCTGAGCTACAGCTCTTTCCCTCTTCCTCTGGAGAGCACAATCACTACAAAGTTATCTGGCAAAAGCCCACATTGAAACTGGACAGGAGTCATACAAGAACACACCTTCCATTCATTTCCACAGGACCTGGACAGAAGAACTTCATGGTGTCCTAGTACAGTGGAACTGCATTCAAATGAAAATTTTTGACACAACATTCTGAAGCTTGTTCTTTATAATTATGCTTGTCCAGCCCTCCTCCAGGGAACAATTCTCATTACTTAGGGCTGAAAAATGTTCATTCCCACTATGTTTGAAAGGGATAAACACTGGAGGAAAGAAAGATTTTTAAGGAAAATTAGGAACCTGTATCAGTAGGATCTCAAATCATCAGCCTTGCCTTCTATTTTAAACACACACATACAAAGAGAGAGAGAGAGAGTCTCCTTTCATTGCCTGTTCATAATATTAGCACAGCAAGACTGCCCAACTTCGGTCCTCTTGTCTCTTTGGCCAATAGTCTATGTATTATAGAACTGTAGAGTTGGAAGGGACTCAAAGGGTCACCAAGTCCAACCCCCAGAAATGCAGGAATCACAGCTAAAGAATCCCTGAGAGATGGCCATCAAACCTCTGTTTAACAACTTAGCTGTTCTTAATGTTTACTCAGAATCTCCTTTCTTGTCATTTAAATCCATTAGTTTGGGTCCTACCCTCTGGAGCAGCAGAAAACAAGCTTGCTCCATCTTCCATGTGCTACATTCCGCCTTTATCAGGGTTATCAGATCTCCTGCACTACAGATCTGCATTTCTTTTGGACTCCACACCACACTTCTACAGCAAATACTGTTAAAAGTGTTTGTGTAAATTGTCGCAAGCCAAGTCCGTTGAACTAGCTATGGAAAAATGATACTCAAGTAGAGGAGGTGTATTTTTCTTTTATATTTCCAGATAGCATTTGCGTGCATTACGCCTGATAAAGTGAAGATCCTGTTTGGCGGGTACTCCACTTTACCCAGCTGTAGCCATCTCAGAATGTGCATGGGAATAAGGGAGGGCCTTGTAATGCTATATATAAAGCATCCAAGCTTGACAAGGTGAGGCTAGAGTGGCAGCAGCAGCACTGCCCATTGTGAGTAGATAGGGGAGGAGGAGAGTCCAAGGTGGGGGAAAGGACTCTCCACTCAACATCATGCTTTGGGCACTACTGGTTCTCCTCTGCAGCCTCCTGCATAGTTCAGGTAAGTCTAAAATCATATCTAGAATACATAGATAACATGGGACTTCTTTCAATCTTGTCATTTTGGGGGGAAAGGATGCCAAAGCATTAGAGGACATACAAGATATAGGGATAGGATGGAATAAAGTGGTAGAAGATGCTATAGATAAGTTAACCTCACTTCTTTTCTTTGACAATGCTTGTCTGAAATGCCCATCATATATAATTAACCAAATAAGAAGAAGGAAGGAAGGAAGGAAGGAAGGAAGGAAGGAAGGAAGGAAGGAAGGAAGGAAGGAAGGAAGGATCCCAGTGTGCTTATAAAGTGGGAATAACTGGTTTGAAACACAAAATATTTAGACAAAACTGAATGATTTGATCGTTCTCTTCTTGACTTTTGCACTTTGACATTTCTCTTGGGTACTTGTGGAACACTCCCTGCTTTTCATGCCACGGTTCAGCATTCATCCTCTTTATTTGACATATAGAACCTTCAATGGAATACACTTTCAGATCTGGAAACTGCAATAAATACCAACCTCCAATGGTCCCAGAAGCAAGAGATCTTACATATTCCTTCAGCAATCTTGCATACTTGTACATGAAACTCTTCTAGGATGGAGCCCAACTATTATACCCAACAACAATACATTCTTTTGTATATTTCACTTGAAAGATGCTTCCATGAAAGAAGATAAATACTTCAATGCTTTTTGATTTGAAAAATAAATTTGTTCTGTGAATCCTTCTAGGGATGTAAGATATGTCTTTCTGCATCTGTCCAAAGATCCATGTAGTTCAGCATTCCAAGCTAGATTCTAGAAGCTCACAAACAGAGCATGAAGCTGACCCCATTTGTCCTCAGAATCTGGAAATGATAGGTATTTTGCCTCTGAAGAAGGTGGTTCTATTTACCTACCGGTATCACAGGTTAATAGCTAATACAGTAATACTCCATTAAGATGGCTATAAACACTTTGCTATCAATTGTGGTTTCAAAATACCTGTTTTATATTCTACTTTCATAGTTTTTGTTTCATAAAATTTATTTTTCTTTATTACTCAGATCAGAATCATATGGATCATTCAGACAGGTTATCAGGTAAGTCTGTGAAAGATGTACTGTTCTTCCTACTTACTAAATGTATATGGTTCGTATCTAAAACTCTGTTGTAACTCATTTTGGTTCTCTTCTAGATTATGGTTTCTTGTTATTTGCTCTTTTTTCTTTTTCACCTGTAATTATTTGCTGTTACAACTGGTCCCAGTACTGCCAAAAACATTCCAAGCACATAGTTTTAAGTCTTTCTTTCTAAAAACAATACAGACGTGTTCTGAACAGTTCTAAATTTATTTCTTTTATATTTTCTAATGCACCTAATGACCCATTTGACACTAACCACATAGAAGAACATATTCCTGAAAGATGGATTTGTAGAACAACCCCCAGAAAGAACAATTAAAAAGTTCACTTAAACTTCACAGATCAATTTATAAACCTCCTTAGCAGTACAAACCTCTAAAGGTGTACTCAGAAGTCAGTCCCATTGAGTTCAGTGTGACTAACTGCCAGGAAAATGTGCATAGGATTGCTACTTAAGGCAATCAGCACATCCAATATAAGGGTCTTCAAATGATATGTTTAGTGTCATGTGTATTTTGGCCCAAAGATGTCCCTCCAACCTGTTTTAAAACCTCCAATGAAGGAAAATCCACCACCTTCCAAGGTAGTCCATTCCACCATTGGACAGCTCTTACCATCTGGAAGGTCTTCCTAATGTTTAGTCTGTCACAAGAGACTAGGGCCCTGCGGGACTTGACATCTTTCCGCAGGGCCTGCAAGACAGAGCTGTTCCACCAGGCCTTTGGCCAGGGCACAGCCTGACTCCCTCCCTCGGCAATCTTCGTGGAGCTCTGGCCCAATGGTTGCCAGTGGCTTGATTTGAATTAATTTTATAACGAATGATTTTAGAGTGTTGTTTGTGCTGTACTTTTGTACTGTTTTATTGTTGTTAGCCGCCCTGAGCCCGGCTTCGGCTGGGGAGGGCGGGATATAAATAAAAATTATTATTATTATTATTAGTCTGAATCTCCTTTCTTGTAAATTGGTTCAGGTCCTACACAGGACACACAGAAAGTTATACATCTGCAAATAATTACATATGAAAAATTCTGAGAGGAACAAATATTGTACCTAGTGTTAAGCGTTGTTCTTTTTTTTGCTATTTGGATTGCATGGGCAATAGTGAATACTGTTCTATGTGGAACTGCGGCTGTGGTCTGGTACTGTGATTTGGAGCTGAAGGCTTACATTGCCTTGTATCCAATGCAGCATTAAGTAAGCATTCAGTGCAAGGACTTATGCTTGCACAATGGGACTTTCCTGCCCTGTGTGAATGCCCTGTACACACCCCAAATCTGCTCCGGAGGCAGAGCCTTTTTTCAACCAGAACTCATTTCCAGCACCTCTTAGGTGGGTGCCATTGCCATTACAAGATAACATGGTAGGCGTTCATGGTGAGTTCTGGCACCTCTTTTTCTAGAAAAATAGCAGTATCTAGAGTATGGGGCGGGGGGCAAACCACAGTAAATGGGTGTGTGAAGGAGAAGAGTATAGGAGTCCTAGAGTGCAAATGTAAATCTTTGTGCTAATAGGACAGTTACTTAGCACTACAATGGATACAAGTCATAGTGTAATGGTATTGGACTAAACCATGGTCTCTTCCAACTCTAAGGTTCTATGATTCTAGCCTATCTACAGGAGTGAACACATAAGCATATATGAAAAACAGCCCTTGCATTCAGCCTGTCTTTGAAATCAAGGTGCAACTTAAATTACACAAGAAAGGATGCTAACAAGAAAGAGAGCTTTGTTAATCTTCTGTTCTCACCGGACTAACTTTGCTCCATACTTGGTCATACATTATGTTAAGTTAGTTGAATACAAACCAAGTTTCTGAATAGGAAATAAGCCAATACTCTTCAGACCTGCTGTGGACAGCTATAATTTTAGACTGCCTAAAATGCAATGTACAGTGTCAATACTGGGCTTTGCATTAGGGGCACTCTAAGATGGTGCCCATGCATAGTGGATAAGTGTTTGGCTCACTTCCTCTGCAAAAAAATGTCACTGCCCGCCAAGTAAACATGTCCAGAGGGAGAGCAACAGTAATTGTGTCATCTGGGACCATGCCCTGTTGTTTGTTGCTGCTGCTGCTGCTGCTGCTGCCTGTTGTTCACGTGCTGCCCCTGGACATGTTTATCTTTCCTGGCGGCAGCAATAGATGGGTGGGAGTCAAGCCAAGTAAATATGTCCAGGGAGTCAGTGACTGGCAGCAGCAGCAAAAAGCAGCAGTAGAGCAGGAGAAGCCGGTGGTGGGAACCCTGATGGCAATGCTGAATGGAGCCCTCAATGGTGGTGTGAGCAGGACTGATTATGGGTCCCTCTGCGCCCCAGGGGTGTCAGCATGGGCCTGATCATGCTGGCCTCTGATGCTGGGCCAGAGCTGTAAAGATTTTGTTTCTGAAGTTACAGTAGCATTTTGAAACAATCCATTTCCACAATGGTGTCGATTCGCATCATAATGGGAAGAGCATAGTAATGTCAGAAACTACCTTTGGCACAATTCCATCTGTTGTCAGGCATCTTCCATGGGTAAAAGTTCCTGGAATAAAATGCAAAGTAGGTATTATTTTCCTTCCCGTTTAGCCATCAGGAAGTTTTTGATACTTTCTTTCCCCCACCCCTTCCACTACTTTTATGCAGCAAATACCAAAATATATCATTCCACACTTGGCTGACTCATATATCATTGACAAAACCACTTATTGTGGGCAAATGTAGAAGGAAATAAGCGAATTCAGTTCTGAGACCAGCCCTTCCTAAATATCAGGATTGTCAGGTCAAATACGGAGTTCTCAGTTGGAAGGTACTTCAAAGGTCATCTAAACCAACCCCTTCCGATGCAGAAAATCCACAGTTACAACATAATTAATAGAAGACTATCCAGCTTCTGCTTCACAACCTCTGATAAAGGGGAGCCCACCATCTTCCAAAACAATAGGCTGTTGAACAGCTCATATTGTCAGAAAGTTCTGACTGAAATTTAGTCAAAATCCCTTTTGCTGCAATTGGAACATGTTGGTTCAGGTCTTGCCCTCTGGTCCCCTGGAGCAACAGAAAACAAATTTGCTCCTTCATATCTTTGATGGCTCTTCAGATATTTGACAATGGCTATCATATCACCTCTTAATTGCCTCTTCTCCTGGCTAAACATTCCTGATTCAATGAAAGATACCTGTGGCATAAAATGGAAAACTTTGCCAGATGCATGCAGCTTCTTTTGCCACTGTAATATTATGAAGGGGAAACTGTCTGTCCATTTAAGGTGACTATTAAAGTGAGACAGCTCCATAACAAATATGGAAACCCTACCATTGCACTCATAAGACACTGGTGATCATTTTCTCTCTCCTGATAAAAATGCTACTACTACCTTATTTTTTATATAAAAAACAGCCCTATTACTACTACTTAAAAAGTAAAAAGCTACTGCTGCTTATCCTTTGTATCCATTGTATTGGCAGAGTAAGGGTTCTCCGAACGATGGGCCCTTGATGGAGTAAATGTGCTTGCAAAAGATTAGCACTGTATAACTGAACCTAAAAAGCAGAGACATCACCTTGCCAACAAAGATCCGTATAGTTAAAGATATGGTTTTCCCAGTAGTGATGTATGGAAGTGAGAGCTGGACCATAAAGAAGGCTGATCGCTGAAGAATTGATGCTTTTGAATTATGGTGCTGGAGGAGACTCTTGAGAGTCCCATGGACTGCAAGAAGATCATACCTCTCAATTCTGAAGGAAATCAGCCCTGAGTGCTCACTGGAAGGACAGATCCTGAAGTTGAGGCTCCAATACTTTGGCCACCTCATGAGAAGAGAAGACTCCCTGGAAAAGACCTTGATGTTGGGAAAGATGGAGGGTTCAAGGAGAAGGGGACGACAGAGGACAAGATGGTTGGACAGTGTTTTCGAAGCTACAAACATGAGCTTGACCAAACTGTGGGAGGCAGTGCCTGGTGTGCTCTGGTCCATGGGGTCACGAAGAGTCGGACATGACTAAACGACTAAACAACAACAAACTCGAACAACTTTAATGCAGACAATATCCACTTGGTCAACTGTTGTTGTTTTTAACCTAAATAATTATTTCATTCATGAGTTTAAAACCAAGATGCATAATCCCAAGAATACTTGTGAAAAGTTGTTCGTTTCAATTAATTGTATATGTATTCTCTATTTAATTTCCTTTTTTATTTCATAGGTGCCTCCTTTCAAAGACAGGAAGTGGCATTAGGAGGAGGTAATAATTTGCACATTTAACATCCATTGTGGACTCTTTCTTATGCAACAGCAGTGGTGGGGCTGCTATTCTGGCCGAGCCCCATTCCATGTGTTCCTGGTGATACTGGAATGGGAGAAATGATGCAGGAGTAGTTTGCAAGACCAATGAGGAAAGAAAACATATTGTCAGCACTTTCTGGTCTACTTCTTTCATTGTAACATCACTGCAGCAAAATGGGATGGAACCGCAGGAGAGCAGTCACTGTAATGAGATTCCTCCTATATTGAGGCTGAAGGCCTGCCTTCCCCAGCCAAGTGCCATTTAGATGTTGTTGGACTACAACTCCCATCAACTCCCTCTAAGGCCAGTGGTCAGAGAAGATGGAACTTGTAGTCCAACGATATCTGGAGGGCATCAGGACATGTCACTGTGGTAGTAGGTTTCTCAAAAGGTCTCTCTCAGGAGAAGAAGATCAGTGCTGAATGGTCAGAGGTCAAGTAATGCTTGGAAAAAGAATGGTATTTAGTATTCCCAATAGTTTAGAATGCTTGTTTCGAGCTTCAAGTCCATGGGACTATTCTTCAGGGTCAAAATGTGCCAGGCAAAGGATAGTAATGTTTTCATTTTGCTGTTATATTTGAAGCCACAAAAAGTAATTCAATTAACAAAGCTGTGTGTGTGTGTGTGTGTGTGTGTGTGTAGATAAATTCTACCTTTGGAAATATAACATCTAAGAGCATTTTTTTTCCTTTCACCTTTCGTTGGGGAGAGGAAGTGTATTATCATTACCCCCTGTTTCTAGAAGTGGGAATTGAAATTCTGTTATAGGGTTCAGCAGTAAATGGTAAGTTATTTTAATACAATCAGTACAGTATATATATATGTCCAATATTGCTACAACAAATATACCTTTGTTTCACTTTAGGCCAAAGGAGCGCTGAATGGCTTGACCTTGGTAAGTATTTCTTTTCCTAGAAGTAGAACCTACAGAGACAGGCTTCCCTGTAGTGGAGAGAAAAAAAACATTGATCCTTCCCCCCTCCCCCTTCTTTACTTTCCTAATAATGAGATACTCCTGCGGACATTCTAGAAACTAAAATGAGCTACAGGATAGTATGGGGTCATATTTTAATCATGAAAATGCATTTGATTGGAGGATAACTAGAAATGCTAACTTATGTAGACTTGACATATGCACCTTTTCCTATTTTCTAGAAACCTATTCTGAAGAGTTGAGAAGTCTAGATAATGCCCGTCTTCATCATACAGGTATTACTCCCCTTGTTTTAGTGGGAAATCATGATAAAAGGTTCACAGTACTTCAAAAGGCAGATATATGCCTTTTATACTTTTATTTTATACTTTAAAAAACTATTGCAGTCCTGCCCTCAGGCAGTCCAAATTCTGCATCAAGGAAAAGCTGGATTCTTTAAAAAGCACATGGGACGGGGACTTAATAGGGGCATCTGCTATGAATGGAAACTCTTAGTAAAAATAATTGTTGTAGGCAACACGGTACATGCCCATGCTTATGTATCATGAGCCAGGAGGACAGATTTAAAAGAAGAATCCATTCAACTGATTAAAATACTACTAAAGTATATGCACAGTGCCATTCAGAATGGCCAACAGAATAATCAGAGCCCAACGGAACCTCACTATAGTTTTGCTTCCTTTCTTTAAGCTGTGGATAAGGGCTCATGCTCCACCTGGGGCACTGGGCATTTCTCAACTTTCGACAACTACTTGTATGATTTTTCTGGGACTTGCAATTACATCTTTGCCACCGTATGCAATGACGTCAACCCGGATTTCAACATCCAGTTCCGTCGTGGGCCAAACAAAAAAATTACCAGAATCATCATCGAGTTGGGACCCAACGTTATCATAATTGAAAATGGCATCATATCAGTCAAGGATGTTGGGTAAGCACATGATAGTAAAATGCTCATGTGGTGAAAGCTTTGCTCTTTTTTTAATCAAAAACTATAGGTTCAGGTTGGAAGCTGGGCTTTTTCTTTTCCTATCTGAAGGTGTTGTTAATACAGTTTTTGACATAATATTCTTTGTGATTGGCACGGTTTTCATTTTTATAGTGTTAATGGAAATTGTTTGGAGACAAACATAAAACTTGCCATGCAAAAGGAGTTTGCCCCAAAAACCTAGGGTTTAACCAAACAACAGCAACATATTTTGCACTTTATGAAAACATGATGGCAGAAATGAAGCATTTCTTTCCAATTCTTCAGCTTGTCAAAAGTGAAAGCTGGACTTTGCCAAACTCCCAAGATTCTATCACAGTAGGAATGGCATTTTACACAAGCTCAGAAGTTTCCTCAGATTGTGTGGTCCAAGGCTGAGGCCTCTCCTAACTGAAATTGGTTTCTAGTAGATTTCAGAGCTCTTTTGCCTGCATTTTTTAAAATTCCCAAACAGTCCCATGAATATTAATAATAAAAGGCATCCCACTAGGCATGAATGAGTTAAATGCTTATTTTTGCTGGTACTATGGCACCCTCCTTGCGTTCTTAATTAGAAAAGGTGGTCTTTTCCAGACTCAGTCTGATCTTTAACAAATATAGTTTTAAATTTAATGTTAAAAGTGACTAGGAAACTTTTAATTATTAATTTTAATGGAAATGTATGGTGAGAAATAGACATTGCTAAGCATTTCTAATTTATGGGTGATAAAAAAAAAGTTTGGATAAAAAAGACTTTTGACTTAGAACACGAAGCCTAGAAATTCCTTGGAATTACTAAGTTTCTAGGTCTATGTGTTTCTTCTTTCCTCTTCCCCATACTACTCCAATAGTATTATCAGGCTGCCGTACACCAGAAATGGAATTCAGATTACACCTTTTGGACGCACCATCCGCCTAGTGGCCAAACTGATGGAGATTGAGCTTGCCGTTTTCTGGAATAATGATGATTATCTCATGGTGGGTAAAGTCTTGCTTTCATCTTCTGAGCATATTTTTGGAATGATAAAAATCGCACAGGTTTTACATTATTGCTGCATGGTTGTAATGAAGAAGCCAGCCCCCACCTGCCTTCTTACAACCAGTCCAGAGTGTGTCCCTGGCTATCAGTTGCATCCTCCTTAGTCTAAGTGTTGCCCTTGGGGATCTCAGCAGGGAGAGGGGGGGCAAAACTAGAATTAGCTGGCTGTACCTGCCATTGGCTACCTGCTCTTTATGCTCCCTGCCTCCTGCCCTGGCGGTCACAAAGGGCATCAGCGGCTTCACTGGGTTCTCAACATGCCATGAGCTGGCTCTTCCCATCCTCCCTGCAAGTAAAGGGAAGGAAAGGATATAAGCAGGCATTGCATTACATTGGGCTGCCTGGGTGGCTACAGCCTAGGGATGACAAACTCCGTACCTGATTAGGGCTGACAGGTAGAACACACTGAAGCAGTAGCCACATGGTTAAGTGGTCACCTGTTTTCACCCATAGAAAATATGATTGGGAGAGAGCACTTACATTCTTCAGGATGACAAATTCCAGCGAGGGAGGCCTGTTAACCTGTTAACAGCGAGAACAAAAAGGAGTCTTGCTGTGGCACTTTAAAAACTAGCAGATTAATTGTTGGCATAAATCTGTTGGCCTTCAAGGTGTCACAACAAGACTCCTTTTCAAAAAAGCAAAGCAAAAAACAAACAAAACCTCATCTAATAGCGGGTAGTCGCACGATTAATAATGCAACATGGGTCAATCTGACCTGGACAGCGGCCCACAAAGCGGTTCTCAGACATTTCGTTGAGCTTGCTGCTGCGCTAATTGTGGTTGGTGTTGACTCAGGTGTGCATTCTCCTGGCATTTTATCAATCTGTGCTCAGAAAGACGTAAGAAATAAGTAGACTCAATGTCGGGATGGGCACCCTCACCCCAGTCATCAGACTGATAATCTCATATAGGGAAAGGGAGTTGTAAACCTTCTTCCTCTTCTGATCTGCACATATCAACTTAGGAGGGGGTGATGTGTGTCTATGTATGCCGACCTATGTGTGTCCTCTGTGCACATGCGCAAGTCTCGAGTAGGCACACTAAGCAGTGGTATGAGCTCCCCTGCTCTGAGTGCTGGCCATGGATGAATGTGGCCTTCAGGCCATAAATGGTTAGTCTCCTCTATTTTACAAGAAGGGAATTTCACAACCAGGGAGCCTTAGCAACAAGACTTTTCCCCACATCACAGCAACATGTGCTACATTGGGTAGCAGGGTCACAAGGAGGGCCTTCTCAGCAGATCTTAATGTATGGGCTGGCAGAGATTGGCTCTCCTCTAAGTACTTGAGACCTGAGTCACTCAGGGCTTTGTATTTTACCAAGATATAATGCATAGCTATTTTTCTAATTAATTCAGTTTTCTCTTTTAGGTTTTGATTGAGGAAAAATACATGACAAGAACATGTGGACTGTGTGGGAACTTTGATGGGAAAGAATTAAATGAGTTTATGAGTGAAGGTGAGTTTTTCCAGTGCAGAAATAAAGGACAGAAAGGTTTGGATTTCATGGCAACTTATTAAGCCAAACATTATCATCTAATTGCCTAAACTTCTAGTATAGTTGATAAAATAAAGAAGATAATATGAGGACTACTTGCTCACACAGGGCAGTAAGGTCCCATGTTTTTTCTTTCCCATCACTTTTCTGTGGTATTATAATAAGAAAAGGTAAAAGCATTGGTTATATCCAATTGAGTTTTCAATCTAGTGGAGGTTTCCATTAACAGGAGAGTTGAGGAGGCAATCTTTTGCCAAGCCCTTCCCCCTATGCCATCCTCTGTGCTGTTTGGAGGGTCCTCCAAACTTCTATAGAGTATAGGGGCTGTAGTGGAATGGGGAAATTGGCAAACATTGCCTTCTGCAAATATGTTCACTTGGTCAACAGCCCTTCCATGAAGGGAAAAGCATGACTAGAGTCAAGAAGGCATCATTTTACTGCCCTTAAAATCTCCACTCCTTATGTTTTATTTTTCCAGAGATTGATGACAACAACAAGCCACCCACCTATCTTCATATATGCACAGTTGTTTTTTAATGTAAAATGAGTCAGGTGTATAAATGGACCCCCATTTATATAGTGCATAGGTTGACTAAGATGGACTCTTCACTAACAAACTCAACTGAATTTATACTTTGATTAATAGACAAACTTCTGGACCCTCAAAAATATGCTGCCTTGCAGAAAATTGATGATCCTGCAGAGATCTGCCCAGTTGAGGAAATGGCAGTTTCTAACGTTCCTCGCAAGAAATATGTATGTACCATATCATTTTTCTGGATCTGCCTACCTTTCAATACTTTTAGACAGAGGCAGTAATTGAGAAAACACTGCCATGATTGAAGATACAGTAGCAGATTGGCTAAGTCGGTCTGAAAGAACTGGGAGGAAAGCATGGAATGGGATGTGCAAACCTCTTCCTATCTTTTTGGAGGTTTTTCATAAAAGGGATTTTCAAAAGTGGAGAATTTAGGCTTTCCAACTGTGAGGGAATGACATTCTCCCCAGTTAGTTCCCTGCTTCTCTCATATTCTAGCTTCAGCACAACAGGATGGAGACTGTATTCTCTTGGTAGCAGGGCAGGAGCCCCAAATGAGTGTGGCCAGAGCCCAAAGTGGTCATCGCTATCCACATTCTCATAAACATATCACTCCCATCCATGCATTCTCTCACTCACTCACTCACTCACTCACTCACTCACGTGGACAATATGCATTGTTAGAAAAGGATCCATTTGTTTTAATATATTATTTTTTGGCAATTCAAATGTCAGGTGCGCTGGGGCCTGATTTGGATCGGAACTCTGGTGGGAGGATGGTGCAGGGGCTTCAACCATTTGCCCCCTGCTGTGGCCCCTGTGCATTGAAAATAAAAAAGGGATCCATTCATTTCTTTAAAAAAAAAAGATTTTATTAAGACTTTTCAAAATGCAATAAAAGACCAGAACATGCAAAAGATCAAGGTCAAATGCAGATAGAGCTGGAGAAGACTCCTGTCTGGAACCCTGGAGAGTCACAGTCAGGGCAGCGGCCTGAAGGGTTAATGTTAGATAGACAAGGAAGAGTAAAAAGACATAGCTTTGTGTGTCTTACTCTCTCCTTTTAATCCCTACGCGGCAACAGATATCACACATAATTCTGCCTATCTACTCTCCCGTTCAAGATTAAATGTTATTCAGCCATCAGACAACAGGAAGCAAGGTGGGATGTTTTGCCACCATTGAAAGTGACATGGGTGATGGTGGAACAATGCACTGGATCCAGGGACTGCCGCCTGTGGCTTTCAGTTGCCAGTCCATAACTTATATGGTGATAAGGGGAGGCTACATTAACGATAGGCACACATTCTTACTCAATGCTTTTGGTAACAACAAGTTGTCAAAGCAATTCAGTCTGTGGTACAATCGTGCCCTGTCCCAAAATGCATTGCATTCATTGAAACTGCCTTTCTTTCTTCTTCCAATAGTCTAGGATCTGCAGCCAGCTTCTAGGACTCGTGTCTCAATCTTGCAACATCTCAAGGAAAGGGTTTGTTATCCGCTGCCAACTTGACATGCAAAATTGCCCTGATCCAGGGCAGAGGAACTGTACTTGTGCTACCCTTTCAGAGTACTCCAGGCAGTGTGCCATGTCCCATCAAGAAGTGTCTGATTGGAGGAGCACTGACCTCTGCTGTAAGTTATGAGGTTCTGGATCATGATTATACATGTCAGGTATTAACAACACATTGACCAAACTACCATAAACATCAGCTTCTGTATTCTGAAATAAAATGTGCACAGCTAGTAAATGCCTCATTATTTACATGTATTAAGACAGGGCTACCAATGAGGACAGGAAGAAAGTATGCTTCCCCATCAGTGTTTCGCCTGCTCCTTATTGTTGTTGCTGCTCCTTGTTCTCCCTGTAGCTATTCTCCATTGCTTTTTTTTCTGCTTCTTGACAATTTGCTGTACTTCTTTCCTCCCCGTCTGTCCTAACTTCACTCTCTGAACCATTGTGTTTTGCAGCTTTGGGAAGATGTCCAGCTAACCAAATCTACAAAGAGTGTGGTTCTCCCTGTCTCAAAACATGTTCCAATCCAGATTACAGCTGTTCCAGCTACTGTACATATGGCTGCTTCTGCCCAGAAGGTAAAAGGACATTGTGATGGATAGACCTTGGGTCAGCCTCCTGGAGACCCTTAAGATAATCAGGGCTGGGTGAAGTGTCATCCAATCAGAAGAGAATAGAGGGTTACAAGTTAGAACCTGACAGTTTAACTTTCAGGTAGGGCTGAGTTAGGGCTTCACTGTTAGATGGGGCTCAGAAATGACTTGTTTATGGATTGGCTAGGCATGACAACCCAGATTATTTCCCTAAGGAGAAGGTAAAGATGCTCAATGGAGCTGGGAGTGTTTTCCTGGCTTAGTAGAAAAAATAGTCATTCTAGGAGGAATCATCTTATTTAGGAACAGGTTTAAAGTGGAAATTATCTGTGATTCTGAAGCTAAACAAGGTTCTTTAAAAAGTATGTTTAGGAATATGTAACTTAAATTCAACTATGCCAAATGGCCAAATGACTATGTATGCTATTCACTTTATGTTTAGTTAATTACCTATGGTTTTCGGTCTCTATTCAGATTTATTGCTATGAAACTGGAACACAATTTGTCCATGATATGAAGAGCACCTAAGTGAATAGACCTGCCCCTGAATTTCCTCCAGAAGAAAAAAAAACACCTTGCAAAAGTTCCCAAGCTTTATGCTATATACATTCAGAAGGAATTAAAATGCTTGCCATTCATTTGCTTTCACCTTTGACAGGGACTGTTTTGGATGACATTTCAAAAAACCGAACATGTGTTCCGGTAGAACAGTGTCCATGCACACTGAATGGGGAAATGTATGCTCCTGGTGATGTTATGAAAGCAACATGTAGAACCTGGTAAGTACGGTGGTATTCTAATTAAAGAAGGATGGGTAATTAAAGAAGGATGGGTTGTGGTTAGAATACCTGGCACTGATATGCTGAAACATACATAAAAAAAAGACAGAGATAGAAATTTTTTAAAAAGAGAGATTTTTGCACATAGATCAGGATATGACGTGCATTTTTGACTGTCTTTAGAAGTCCAACTTGGATTTTCATGTTTAAAGTCTATTGGTTTCAAATATTGTTGCACAAATGAAGAGAGATATAATAGGTTGTGTGCGCACTTTGCATTGAAAGCGCCCCACCAATAATCCTGGGATCTGTAGTTTATTCCTCAGAGAGCTGCTGCTTCTAGCACCCTTAACAAACTACAGTTCTGATGATCCTTAGGGGGTGGGGGAATGTGCTTTTACATGTATTGCACTTGTGCAGCTATTCTGACCTAAAACAAATAACCCAGAAAGTGATGATGAGCTTAAATCTTCTTTTCCAGTTAACAGCTGATATGTACTTTTCTTTTTACTAGTAAGTGTATGATGGGTCAGTGGAGCTGCACAGAACTGCCATGTCCAGGCAGATGTTCCTTGGAGGGAGGGTCATTTGTTACCACATTCGACTCTAGGCCATACCGTTTCCATGGAGTTTGCACCTACATTCTTATGAAGGTATTCTACCTAATAAAGACCAGCATTATCAGATTTGTTTTTAAAAAATATTTTAATATTTTCCAGGAGTCAGCATTTACCTTATACTGTTCATAGAGGACTGGAAGTACCACAGTCATGCTATTAACCATAATATCTAACTCTGTATTCCTCTTTTTTATGGCATGTGCAAATATTAAGAGAAACAAGAAGCATTACGGGGGCCTTCAAACAAGTGGGAGATGAACATTCTCCACTCTGTTCATTGGGTAGAACAATCCTATGGGGGTGGGTGGGCAGAGGAGGTAGAATCCAGTGCAGTGGAAGCAGTGGCGTAGCGTGGGTTGTCAGCACCCGGGGCAAGGCAAGTAATTTGCGCCCCCTAACCCATGGATTTGCGCCCCCTAACCCGTGGATTTGCGCCCCCTAACCTGTGGATTTGCCCTAACCCCAGATGTTGCGCCCGGTGCGGCCGGCCCCCCCCTTGCACCCCCCACGCTACGCCACTGAGTGGAAGCACCCAGCATATTCAAAGCACCATTGCCTCCAAACCACCAGGCTCAAAATGTTTACAACTGCACAGTCACGGAAGTAGTCAGGGAGTCACAATTGGCAACAGCTCCATATTGAGTGTATGTTTGGTGGCATACCTGGATTTGCTGCAGCAAAATGAATAAAATGTCAATGAAAAGGAAACATTTGGTATAGTATGGAAACATTCGACAATCATTTTAAACGGTGGATGTGAACATATTGAGTTTTCTCCCTTCTACAAACTTTGCATTATTTTGCTTTTCCTCTCCTTCTAGAGTCCCATGTTACCACACAATGGAACCCTGATGGCCGTGTATGAAAACTCTGGTTATTCCAGTTCAGAGACATCACTGACAGCCATCATTTATGTCTCAGGAAAAGTAAGTGTGCCTCTCATAGAAACGTTACTGCTGAGTGCATCCTATGAAAAAAAATCAGAGCAGATACAGTCCAGCACAGAATGAGGTATGCCTAAGCCCCATTGATCTCAGCTGGATTTAAAGGATGTGCTTAAATTGTAGTCCAGATGTACAGATACGAGCAATTGAATGCGGAACAGAGTGAAAAGGTGAGATAAGTACCTATATGCAATAGTCACAATCATTGTTCTCAGTTGCAAAAATTATGGTAGCGGTTAATTTCAGTGATTCCTCCAAAAATTTATTTATTTCCTGTGGTTACACACATTCTATATCCGTCCTGATTCATGGATTCAAGATTGACCCAGAGTGGCATTTAACCCTTCACCCAGCTCTGTGTTTAGGATTCTGTGTTATCTTTTCCATGTAGGACAAAATTGTGATTTCCAAAAATGAAATTTTAATGGATGAGGATGAACTTAAGAGGCTACCTTATAAATCAGGTAAGATAAGAAAGAAGAAAATGGAAAATGTACCCAATAAATAAGATGATGATAAGATATAAGATATAAGATAAGATGTTAAGATAATTATTATTTATATCCCACCCATCTGACTGGGTTATCCCAGCCACTCTGGGCAGCTTACAGCATATTTAAAGACATAAAACATCAGACATTAAAAACTTCCCTAAACAGGGTTGACTTCAGATGTCTTCTAAAAGTCAGATAGTTGCTTATTTCCTTGACATGACATCTGATGTGAGGGTATTTCACAGGGCGGGTGCCACTACCAAGAAGGCCCTCTGCTTGGTTCCCTGCAACCTCACTTCTTGCAGTGAGGGAACCAGCAGAAGGCCCTTGGAGGAGGACCTCAGTGTCCGGGCTGAACAATGGGGATGGAGACGCTCCTTCAGATATACTGGGCTAAGGCCATTTAGGGCTTTAAAGGTCAGCACCAACACTTTGAATTAAACATACTGGGAGCCAGTGAAGATCCAGATAATGACAATCCTGTCAACAATATGTTCTATATTTTATATTATTTCTGTTTAAATATGTTGTTACCCACTCTATATTTGGAGTAGGTGAGCTGCAAATATAAATAAATAAGCAACCATTCCTCCTATCAAAATAACAAAAAATGTAATATTTATATAACGCAAACTATTCAACATGAATAGTAGAAACAAAGAAATAAACGTATCAATATATGTAATATATTTAATAACTTAAATAGATAAAACAGAGTCAACATCTTTTCAATTATCTCATTTCTTTAGGAGACATCATCATCTTCAGACAGTCATCTACTCACATTCAAATGTATACAACCTTTGGGCTGGAACTGGTAATTCAAGTTAGTCCAGTGTTTCAAGTTTATATTAAAGTTGGATTTCAGTTCAAAGACAATACCCGAGGTAAAGTACTTGGTTTCTGTTGAACTATTCCAGATCTGATGTGGAAATAGTTTGTGAGATGAGATCTAGCATAGCCTGGGGACACCTTCAAATTGTGACCACTCCATACTAGATTATACTTGACTTCTGGGGGACAGCAAAGGTCAAATATGTCATTCACCTGTCTACTACACTAGTAAGGGGTGGAGAACCACTATATTATTTTTAATTGTTTTTGATATTGTATTTTAAATTGTAACTCACCCTGGGACCTCATGGTGAACAGAGGGTAAGAAATCTTAATAATCATAATTATAGCAACGCCTCTGCACTTGGGTGGAAACTAGTTCAGAGATTCAAGCAGACTGTTAAAAATGTTTTAGCTTCTACAATTCAATGCAGCCTTTTGGGCAGACCAGAACTTCTTTGCTCCAGGGCCTACAGATACTTTATGGAGAGGAAACCTGTGGCTTTCACGTTGCTACCTATATTAGGCATATATAGTACAGGTATAATTCGCAGGCCTGCCATAGAATTAACAAGAGTCTTTTCAGTGTTACTGTAGAAAAATGCTCCTAGCTTTTCATTCTGCACATCTCTTTCCATGTCACTAGGGCTGTGTGGTAACTACAATGGAGAAACCACAGACGACTTCATGACCAGCATGGATATTATTGAAGGAACAGCTCCTCTCTTTGTGGATTCTTGGAGATCAGGAAATTGCCCCCCTGCCATAGAAAGAGATACAGATCCTTGTTCTATGAGTCAATTAAACAGTAAGTGACATGGTCTGCTTTTGTTTGCGCTCTCTTTTATTCTATTTATTTGAGCATTTTAAATATTACCAAAAATACATTCAAGGCCATGGTAGGATTCTGAAAATGAGCTGTAGAATTTTTGTCTTGCTTTCAGTATATGAGGGACAGAGGGAATAATTATGAACAGGAACCCCTGCAGCTTTTTGTTTTACCTATTCGCATCTCCCTGAGCAGCTTTGGAGATCAGAGAAGTGGTGCTCTGGGAAGGAGGCATTATCAACAAATGCAAAATGTGAAAGGGGAACATTAATGCTGCATCATTTAAAAAGTCGCTGTGGGCTGTATCCTTGAGGGTGCCTCTCAGATTGACGAGCATGAAAGAGGCAGCCAAGAGCCATTTGTGTTAGTTTTAAAATGTACACATTCTATAATCATTGTCAAAAAAAGATGACAAATGAGATTCACTTTACTTCTTGGATGTCCATGAAAAGCGTAACAAAATAACAGCATTTGTCACAAGTATTCAGAAAATAGGCCAGGTCAGCTATTGGTATAGCCACTGGCTATTATTCATAGAATCATAGAATTGTAGAGTTGGAAGGAATGTCAAGGCTCATCTAGTAGCCCAATGCCCTGCAATGCTGGAATCCTTTCTACAGCTGTTTCTGAATGAGCTCAAGCCACCAACCTTCTGGTTAACAGCCAGGCACACTGACCCACTGCACTACAGGACTTGTTTTATCTCCCCCCTTATTTGTACACATCTTTTAATATTAGCTTGGGAATAAATGAACTTGCCTAATACCTTTGGTTGTATCTTTTTGTCTAGAAATGTGTGCCGAGACCCATTGCTCTGTTCTTATCAAGAAAGAAACAGTATTTGAGAAATGTCATTCTGTGGTGAATCCTGTTCCATTTTATAAGGTAGGGGTTTCTGTAAAAGGTTCAGAAGACAGCAACTAGATGTTCAGATGTGAACTAGATGTGAAAATGCTTTTTAAAAAAAAAACAATTTTGAAAAATACATTGAATTTGGCATAGCTCACTGTTGCCATCTAGTTGCACCTGAGTATATTGCACTTTACAGCACATTTAAAACATTTATTTGCAGCTGTATAACTGAGTCCCAGGTAATTACAAAGTTTGTAAACGTCAGGAAAAGTTGTATTCCCCCCCACACACACACATACACTGCCAAAATGACATCCAACTTCCAGCTGAAATCCTGTAACTTTTTATATCACAAATATTCTGGTTTTTGTTTGTCCCACTTTTGTTGTGCAGTAACCCTTCTGGACATAAATAATGTGGTAGCACTGGGGAAGCATTGCAGAATGAACTTATTACTTCCAAGAGGAACTTAGCCATAGCCAGGGTAGTATCATTTGACATATCTCCAAGGAGGTACTTAAGATAGATGGTTTTGGATTTTCCAGTTAAATTTACCAATAGAGGTTTAATTAACTGATCCCTGGCTTATTTGAACAGCTCACAGCGTAGTAGGATATTCTTCATAGAGTCGACACCCTGAGAACATGAGCAGAGTAAGTTCTGATAGGGTATGCCAGACAGTCTGCCATTTATTACTTTTGATGGAAATACATTTAGTCTGGCTTTGGTGAATAATTGGCAATAGTTAGGTACAGACAGATTCATGAAATATGATGGTCACTGAAAATCATGGCCATAGTAGATTCCAAATGCAAACATTCCACAGATTACATAAAATCAAGAGCGAAGATCACTGTATGAAATATCCCATAACCCCTGCCTCAGGATTTAAAGGCAATATCGTAGCTTAAAAAGATGGTGAAAGACCAATCAAGGAGGCTTTTAATAAGAAATAGAAACCTACATGCTCTGCATAAGACATAGTGACTGCCATGGAATCCTTTCCCCGTATTTCAGTTTTATTTTGCTTTTGAAAATGCTTTTGTGGGTCTTTGGACCAAAATAAAGAACGTAAATATGTAAACTAAAACAAAATAAATCTACCACAAATGTTGCAGAACACATGCACAATTGAATACCAGTTTGGAGGGACTTTAACTGCCCCCTCAGAATAGGGCTGTGTGAAAGAGCCAACCCAGATCACCAAAGATAGCACTTTTATATAATCTCAGTTGCAATACTTTTAAATACAATCAAGTGATGTGCATGCACTGACAAACCATTTCATGATCTACAGTCAGCAGTTCTGATTGCTTATTAACAAAACATATCCTGCCTCTTTGTTTTCAGAGATGTATATACCAAGCTTGCAACTATGAGGAAACATTTCCCTATATTTGTTCCGCTCTGGGATCATACGCCCGTGTGTGTGCTTCAATGGGACTGTTTCTTGGGAACTGGCGGAGTACAGTAGACAACTGCAGTAAGTAGTCTCCAACTGATACTTATAGGGTCCCCCCCCCCCCGTATTACAGTGGTACCTCAGGTTACATTCGCTTCAGGTTACATATGCTTCAGGTTACAGACTTCGCTAACCCAGAAATAGTGCTTCAGGTTAAGAACTTTGCTTCAGGATGACAACAGAAATCGTGCTTCAGCGGCGCATCAGCAACAGGAGGCCCCATTAGCTAAAGTGATGCTTCAGGTTAAGAACAGTGAATGAATTAAGTACTTAGCCCGAGGTACCACTGTATTGTACTCCGGAATGAATTAAGTACTTAGCCCGAGGTACCACTGTATTGCTTCAGAGTCCAGACATATGCCAATGCTGACATTTCCATCAATGAACTATCATATTGTGATGTCAGATTTCTTGGGGGTTTTGAGATCTAGCCCCAGCAAACTAAAGCTGGATGCAGCCCTGCCTTAAACACTGCTCCATGATAAATGGCAGGACTATTTTTCAAATGATTACATTTAGATAACTGAGAGCCCATGCACACAAATGATGCTGCATATAACATACATCCTTACTTATTGTGCTCAGGGAAGGAAGCATTCACTTAGGAACCTTGTGTCTGACCTAACCCATATAATAGATATAGTCCCCCCTCATAAAACAAGAAACAAGGACGTTTAATTCCATATGCTTAAAGTCAAGCACACAGGCGGTCTACTCTAGCGAACTGTGAAATTTCCCCTCCTTACGCTGCTCACGTAAGCACTATTTAAGGAAGAGTGCCTGGCTGATCGTTGGAACCAATGCAGGGTGAAGCATGTTTTGTTGTCCTCTGAGAACTTTCTGCAGACCTTCTAGCTACTGCACCATCAGTAGTCTAACTAGTGAAAGAGGAGTAAGATTTTGTCTCTCCCAGAGACTTCCGGTAGCTTGCTTCACTGAACTGCCAACTGTTCCCCGCGTGAGACAGAAGTATGAAAGGGAAAGAATATCTCACCAGCTGAAAGCAAAAACCTAATTGTATTATACTTTTTTCTACTGACAGCCATTTCTTGTACTGGAAATCAGACATTCAGCTACAACACTCAAGCCTGTGACCGGACATGCCTGTCCCTCTCCCATCGAGGCCTAGAGTGCCACCCCACTGACATCCCTATTGACGGCTGCAATTGTCCAAAAGGCACCTATCTCAATCACAAAAATGAGTGCGTCCGTAAATCCCAGTGCCCTTGCTACTTGAAAGACAGGAAGTTCATTCATGCTGATCAGTCGACCATAATTGGTGGAATTACCTGGTAAGCATGGGCTCCAGCAAATGAGGATTTTGCATTGGCTTTGTTAGCACATTAGTGTTTTCTCAAATGCATGGTCTTGCAGGAAAAGTAAACACTGGCAATGGTGGTGGTGGGGCGGTATTTCAGAAATGTTATGGTTGCAGTGTTGTTTGTGTATGTCAAACACCCTGAAAGGAATTAAAAGTATTAAAGGGCATTATAAAAGTATGGTGAGTGGGAGAGGGAGGCAAAATCTCTTCAACAAATAATATTATAAGGGAGTGAGGCAACATAAATTAAACAGACACCTAATGTTTATGCAGTTGAGAAAGGAACACTCAATATCCTGTTGAAACTAAAACAAATTTCATCAAAGATATTTCTGAGCTTTAAGAGAAAAAGGAAATGTAAAATAATTAAAACGCACTTAATTATGTCCCATTCTTGTCCCATTTTGAAGAGGTATGTTGTAGGCATAGGCCTACATATCTGAAATATGAATAGTACAACGAAGTCCAAGGGTATAGTCTTTGATCTCTGGTCTAAAGGTACATGGTGGAACGACCTTGCTGAATCTAAGTCGGGGTAGGCCTCTTCAGTGTCTTTATGGGAGACTGAACCCTCAAGTTCCATCATGGTGGGTTATAAATGTAACGAATAAAATAATACTGCTATTAGCATGGGAGGTATTTGGAGCACACTTGTGGAACCAATTAAGGAGGTAGACTGAAATATCTTACTTCTTACCTTTTATTAACCCTTTACCAATCCCCATCCACTGCATTGCCATCTTTGTTATTTCCATCTAACTGTCATTGTCATGTCACTTCTACATTCTGTGTAGCATTTACCATATAATTGATGTTTTATTTACTTGCTTGCTTACTTAAGTTTTATCCTGCTACCTCTCAAGGATTTGGGCCAGATAACGATTGTTAATAATAAATCAATAATAGCCAGTATTAAATCTGTTTTATTCCACATCTGTTGAACTCCTAATTGTTGAATGCCAGCCCGAAGAGAAAACCTGATAAACTCTTTTGGAAGGTATTCCAGCTCAGACATACTTGATCTCATACATATCCTTAGTGTATTCTAATGTTCATTTTTCTATTCTAGCTATTGCATTAATGGGAATCTGAGTTGTACTGGCAAACCTGCTGACCCTGCAGGTATGGATCTCCTTACCCTTTCTTTTGAAAAGCACATGCTTTCCAAATGTTGCAGAAACATCATTTCACAAGCATCTTATTTCCTTTTTCCTAGAAAACTGCAAGCCTCCCAAAAAATATATTTCATGCTCAGCACCTTCAGAAAGCAAATATGGAGCTGCCTGTGCACCAACCTGCCAAATGCTGGCTACTGGAATTGCATGTGTAAGTGCAATACTTTTGCTACCATCATTATTATTATTTATTGAATTTATATACTGCACAGAATTATATATATATATATATATATATATATATATATATATATAATATCATTGTAATTATCATCAGCATGCAATAATTTGTAGCACTTAATTTGCCAAATGCTCTCATTATTTGCTATGAAATTAAAACCATGTATTGAAACACTCATAGTCTAACAAAACTAACACAGAGCAGTGAAAACAGTGTATAACCGATTTTTTTGTATGAGATAATAGGCATAAATAGAAAAAAAATAGCAGGAATTTCACAACTACCTTTATGCCATTCCGGGAGGCAGGGAGACATCACTCCAGGCTTAGTGCTGATTTGAATTCCAGCCTCCACAATGTGGTGGCTCCTTAAGGGTTGTTACAATGATGTTTCCAGAAGTGTGGGAGACCAGAATTTTCCCCCAGTTGATAACTTGAATTGGTGGTAGGGCTGTGGAATCTCTCACTTTGGGGACTGCAAGCTTCTCACCATAAGCAAGGAAGATGGGGAAAACTTTTCCTACCTCCTTTCGGCCACACACTGCAGTAGAAGCTCAGTGAGTGAAAGGCAGACCTGGAACCTGAGGGCCACCATAGTCCACTTGTAGAACTCAAACATGGGCAGGAAAATTCTGGCTCAGGCTCTTAGAATGCAACCCCATACCTACTGATCTCAGAGTAAGTGCCAATAAATTCAATCAGACATATGCCTGAGTAGGCATACATATGATTGCACTGTTGACCTCATTAGGCCAGCTCCCAATATGTACCTCACTTTTAGACTTAGCTGGGATCCTTCACAATATCTGTATAATAAAAATCACAACTTTATCCTAAGTACTTTATATACATGCAGATTTCCTTTAAATGTTCTCTCAGTCATATGGCAATGACTTAGAAAACACCAGGTCTGAGCATGCCCACAATTTTGTTCTCACCTTTCTATTCTCACCCCATCACTCACATACTTTTTTATGGTTGCTGCATAACAACAGCATTGAGCAGGAGAACCTGGTGCCCTCCAGAGTTTGCTGGACTACAGATCCCATCATATTTGGCTCGTGGCTATGCTTGCTGGTGCTGTTGGGAGATGGGTGTCCAGCAACATCTGAAGGGCCACAGGCTAAGAACAACCTTATAGTTGGCTGGTGTTGGGCTGGACTTCGCATATCTCAAAGTCTGAGTTTGAGATTGGCTGATGTTTTCCAGGTCCCCAGCAAGTGTGAATCAGGCTGTGTTTGTGCTGCTGGACTATATGAAAAGCTAGATGGTACATGTGTGCCACCTGATGAGTGTCCCTGTGAATATGGTGGCATCTCATATGCAAAAGGAGAGGAGATTCACACTGAATGCAAGTCCTGGTAAGATTTTTTTTTGCTTTCATCCCTTTGGCTATACCATGCAAGTATGCTATTCAAATGATAGTTAACAAACTTAGAAAACATTACATCTGAGCATCCACATAATTCTATTACATATATTGCTTGTGCCAGCTGCCCTGAAACATAGTTAAACTAAATATGGGACTTTGGGAAATCTAAGGTAACATCACATGAAGGCATCAAGGAATAATGCTTACCCAATATTGTGCTACCTTTATTTGCATTTGAAGGCTTTATGACAAGTTTCTTGTTCCTCATCAGCACCTGCACAAGAGGAAAATGGAAATGCATCCAAAATTCCAGATGCTCTTCAACATGCAGTCTCTATGGGGAAGGCCATATCACCACGTTTGATGGACAACGTTTTGTGTTTGATGGCAACTGTGAATACATACTAGCTATGGTAATATCACTTTGACTGCACTTACATGCCATGATGCTAATGATCAGTATAAGCAGATTTGAATCAATATGGCACTTCAAATCAAGGCTTGCAGTTCAAAGAGTGTCTTAAGGTAGAAAAAAATTGGTCTCAAATATTTTACAACTATAATCTTAAAAACAGGAAGTAGATGAACTCATATGGCCTTTGTTCCCTAAATTCAGCTTCAGGGTTTGAAGTGTAACCAGATACTCTCTGCAAAAAGTAGATCAGAATCTACTGGTAGATCTCTGGGTAGTTTGCAGTAGATCAGCAAGGGTTTCTGATTCTGAGTTATCCAATAATCCTACCCATGCTCTGCATTTTAAATCCTCACATACATGTTGCTATCTAATGGTTATCTGACTGTACTTCTCTACCTAGGACGGTTGTGGCATGGGTGGCTCTCCCCATCATTTCAAAATAGTGACTGAAAACGTTGTCTGTGGAAATACAGGGATCACATGTTCCAGAGCAATCAAGATCCACCTTGGGGTAAGGATGAAATGTTGCTGTTATGTGATATTTACTCATCTGTACCACACTGGAAATAATTTCCTAACACCCTTCAAGGAAACTGATTGATCACTCTTGTCATCCCAGCACTCTGCCATCCTCTAGTATCAAGGCACTATAAACTAACATACAGCTGTTGGGCCTGAGATTCAAATTTTCCAGTCTGAAGAAGCAGGGCCTGGCCAACTCTATCATTAGGCAGAGTGTGGCAGCCACCTAAGGCAGCAGATTTTGGTTGCTTTGGGGTGCAATATAGAACCATGTTCCATCTCCAGAATTAAAGTAGAATTCAACTGCCAATGCAGCTATCTGGGAGGGAAGGGATACATTTTGTCTTTTGTTTCAGACAGCAAAATATATTGGGCCAGCCCTGTGTACACCTAAGTTATGGAGACACTAACTGGATACTTCATTATAGGTGGGATTTTATCCTATGTGTATTAAACTATAGATTGCAAAGACCCAGAGAGAACTGTCTTATAACAGAAACATTCTAGTTTTATACTCATTCCCTATGTGTAATAGGGCATTGTGGGTAAATTCCTCAAAGGCAGATATGACCATTCGCCTTGTACACTGCTTGTACTTGTGCACTGCTTGGCGTATCTTTTAGGGGAAGAGGTTTATAATTTTTCTAAATAAATAAAAGTTTACAAACTCTTTCCACTAAAAACACTAAATATCTTTGCAAGATAATATCATTTCAGTTAAGGGCATGACTGGGTTGGGCTCTGGAGAAGAGAGAAGAGGGATAGATTGTTATACAGCAGGTGTTCACTAGGATCTCCTCCCACCTTGTTGGTAAATTTTATGCTGTGAGCCACCCTGAGATCTACAGATGGAGGCCGGTATGCAAATTAAAAAAGAATAAATTAATAAAAATAATATTGTGAACTGTTCACTCTTTTGTAGCCAAAGGCTAAACCGAAGGGGGTAAGGAATGGAGATGTTTAATGAGTTTTGGGTGATTACCTTTCTAAAGGAAGAGCAGCAAAGTTGTAGACAGCACCCTAGAAGTGTCTGTGTGTACTCTATTGCAGTCTTGAATTGTCTGCAAGTCTCTTTTGTTAAAAAAAGATTGATTAGGCTCCTCCCATAGAGCTGCTAAAACACAGACCAAATTACATTGCACACAAGTAAATGACTCATTCTTTGCAAAAGTCTACAGAAATTCTGTTAGATAGCTTTTCTAGTCACATGTTATTTTCCTTGCAGAATCTGACAATCACTTTGGCAGACAGAACATACACTGTCTCTGGTTGGAATCCTATGACAGAGTTCTTTATAGAAGAAAATGCCCTCCACTTGATTATTGAGATTGCAATCCCCGGCAAATATGACATGTCCCTTGTCTGGAACAGGCACATGAACATATTCATCAAAATATTCAGAGGAGCAAAGGTAATAAATAACCTCTTACCATGGGGCTTCAGGGGTGGCCCTTTGCTGACCGGCGCAGCTGCAGCGCAGACAGTGGGGAGCTAGGGGACTTGTTCATCCTTGCAGCCAGAAGGGGACATTAGAACTTCTACTGTCACATGATGTGAAAGAGGCCCGTGATGTGAGTCAATCATGTCAAGGCTTGTAAGTCAGGTGGAGGCAGTGACCTGGCCCAAACCAGCTCTACCTTTTCCCTATAAAAGGGAATGGTGCTTGGACTCCGGCTCTTTTGATGATACTGGATTTCCCACCCTCCCACCCTATTACATGGTGGTTCTGCCCAAAGGTGAGTGGGTTGGATTGTGTGAGCAGCTTGCTATGGAATGCTCGGTTACCCTATTTGGGACCAGGGAGGAATTTTTCCCTGCTGGCTAATTGGTCTGTCTGCCGGTTTTTCACCTGTCTCATAGCAAATGAAACAACTTGGGCAGATAAGTCATTGAGTTTGGCTCTTTAGCATTTGGGTACCCTGCTAAAAGGGTGTAGGAAGAAGTATTGCTGCCCAGGAGCCCACACAGGGGCAGCCCTGGAGGGAGCATCACACTCTAATGTACGTCAGGGGGCAACCTTCTTTTTAGGGTCGACCCACTTCATTATCAACCAATTGGATGGTTGATCTCAGTGCCTTCACCAAAACCTGCTTACATCTATAATCAGTAAAGCTGTGGCCTATTTCAACCCAATGCCAATGTCCTGTGTCTTATTTAACATGGCTGCCCCCAACACTGGGCAGCACACTCCACACAACTGGGCATGCAATGTGAAGCCAATTCCTAATCCGTTGTTTCTTTGCCTTTCTTGGGAAAGGTGAATAAAGCTGAATGGGAAGTTGCAGTGCCAAAATTTGTTGTAAGCAGAAATTTCTGAGGAAGTTTTATCACAGGCTAGTCTCCACAGAGAAATGATAAGACAGACACTCTTTGCAGTTCCACTTTTCATAATTTTTTTTACAAGGCAAAGTGACTGTGGGTCACGTCAGATTGAGCAGGAAACTGAAGGTGGGACTATTTCTTTGTCGGGTGTTTCTCTGCTCAAAATCATACTCCAGCTGCTTTTCTATGAGAAGAAAGAGATGTGGGGGAACTCATATACATATATCTCCCCTCCAAATGGGAAAGCAATGCAGGGGATAATTTTAAACAGAAGAGTTGTCAAAGAAAGGACTAAACAGATCCTCTCTCTCCACTCGGCTCCACCATCACTGGTCATCCACTCAATATCAAGTTACTCACATGGCTCATTTACATTTTAAAAGGTTCCCTTTTTATGTTTTGTTCTGACGTCCATAACTTTTATTTTTATTTTACTCGAATCTAGGATCACCTCTGTGGTTTATGTGGTAATTACAATGGGAATATAAGAGATGACTTTGAAACTCGAAGTAGATATGTGGCATCCAATGAACTGGAGTTTGTGAATTCCTGGAAAGAGAATCCCCTTTGTGGGGATGTGTTCTTTGTGGCGGATCCATGCAGTAACAACCCCTATCGCAAAGCATGGGCAGAAAAGAAGTGCTCCATTATCAACAGTCAAGTATTTGCTTCCTGCCACAGCAAGGTAAAAGTTTATCCTATGCTTTAAGATAGTAACATTGCCTCTTCAAGTGTTAACATTTCCACCTGTGCATGCTTCCAAATGCCAGATGCCTTTTTATTGTTTTGAATTGATGTATTTAATTATGTATTTATCTACTTCTTTAAAAAAAAAAATTCCTTCCTTTACAGTGGAGGTGGGGAGGTAGATTGGGACGAATCACCAGCATGATTGTGCACAGATCAAGCCTAACGCTGACCATGAGCCCCACCCTCAGAACGCCCCATTTTGGCTTGGCCAGCAGAGATACTACTGGTGGGCCTCCCCCGCCCACCCCAATGCAGGCAGTGGAAGAAGGAGGTCTCCATCAATGGAGTAACATGAGTGCCACTCTATTGGCATCAGGTGGGAGAAGTCTGGCTGAGCCAGCGGAAGCCCACAGAGAGGTGCTTCCACTCAATCCATCACCAGCCCTGAACCCAGCATAAGGTGGGGGTTTGAATTGCAGCCTAAACCATTAAAATATTACAATAATAAAAGATCAGCAGTTAAAACAACACAGAGAATCACAGAGAAAATTCCAGCAGTGATTTCATGAAGTGATTGAAATTAACAGTGCAGTCTTATACATGTCTCCACATAGAAGTAAGCGCCAATGAGTTCAATGAGCCTTGTTCCCTGGTAAGTGTGCATAGGATTGCAGCCTGGTAGAGAAAGCCAACTGTGGTGGGAGAGGAGAGTTTGTAGCCTAGGAAGCACCATAGCGAAGCCCTCTCAGTGTTGTATTGGCTATGGTGGATCTGGGGTGGGGGCACTGTTCTTCCCCAGCAATGCCAGTGTTCTCATCTTTGTTTTACGTTTTCCTCCCATTGGTTCCTATGGAAGGGAAATTTGCTAGGCCAAATATCATTCTCTGTTCATACAGCAGATGATCCTGTAAAGTGGATGTGTGGTTTGATTAGCAGATATTGCTTGTTTGGTCCCACTGAAAATGAAAGGATGAACTTTTAATTAACACCAACTTTCTGGTTTGGCTTCATTGTTCTTTCCCTGCTCCAGGTGTACCGCAGGCCTTATTATGAAGCTTGTGTCCGGGATTCATGTGGCTGTGACACAGGAGGGGACTGTGAGTGCATGTGTGATGCTGTTGCAGTGTATGCAAAAGCATGCTTAGAAGCTGGTGTCTGTGTTGACTGGAGAACCCCAGACTTCTGCCGTAAGTTTCTTAACAATGCCTCTTTTAAAGTGTGCTGGGTTTCTTAAAATGCATTGATACTTCCATATGTTAATAATATTCAGAACTGGATAATACCTATTAAGTTTGCTGACTGCTAAAACTATGGAGCAGGAAGCATATTTTTAGAGCAGTGTTTTCTTGAACCGTATCAACCCTCTGAAGTCGAGTCAATGAGAAGATCAATAATTGTGGCCAGCTGCCACCACTACAAGCAGATTGTCCTCTCTGTCAAGCATCTCTTGCACAGTGCAGATGTAGGAGTGCCTTTAATGTTTTCTAAGTACAGCTGCAGACACAGGTAAATTATTAGCACATTATGTGCGCAATTGTGCAACAATGAAGCATATGAAGCCTACCCCTTCAATCATGCCAGTTTCTCAGTGCAGCATTTCACATGCAGAAATTTATCAGTGGACAATCTGATTTGGGGCAGAATCCCTGGAGCTAGGAAGTTTTAAATCCAGTCTTGGCACATGACGAAAAACTGGATTCTACAGAGATTTCTTTACATCTCAAGTCAAAGTACAGCCAAAACCATCTGGTCCACTGCCAAAGACATGGCCAAGACATTCTTCATTTATGTAAAGAAGCCTTGCTCTTCTAGATTTCTTCAACACTGCAGCACCAATATAGCCCAGGATGGATTATGGAAGCATTCAGTGACCCAGTTTGCATGTAAACCTAAGCCAGATCATGGCTTAATGCAAATGTGTGAGCATGCAGATTTCTGGAAAGGAATTCACAGCTGGTTAGGCCTTCCTCCAGTGCTGCTGTGAGGTAAGCCATGGTGTGGCTTTGCATGCCATCAGAATCCAGGCTCACAGTTTGTTTCACCATGTTGTAACCAAGGATTTTTGTCCTTGGTTTACAACTCAGGGTTTGCCTGGGCTCAGACAACATCCTAAGCCAGAGCATGGCTGGCTTGACAGCAGCAGCAGGACAGAAGAAAGAAAAAAGCAGTAGTGAGCTCCTCTTCAGGAAACTGCACCCTTGCACATTTGTGCTAAACTATGGTTTGGCTTAGTGTTGCGACTGTTGCATGCAAACTGAGCCAGAGTGAGAATATGGCCACAACCTTCAAGGATGAAATCAAGTATAACATAAGAAACAGATAATGAAGATCTTTCACTAGATGCTTCCATCTTTAAATGAGTTTGCCACAGGGGGAAAACAATGCAATGTTTCTCCAGTGTGCTATTTTTTCATTTAGGAAATGTAAGTGGATAGATTGAATAACAATCACTTTCTCATCTCTTTAGCTGTCTACTGTGACTATTTCAACAGCCATAAGAAGAATGCCATGGATGGCACCTATCATAACTTTGTTAATGAACTGAATTGCACCTGGCATTATCGCCCTTGTAAATGTCCATACCAGCTACTAACCTTCAGAGAAATAAACATCGAAGGTATTTCTCCCCTACTTTTAAAAAACAGAAACCGTGCTAGCAGTGGCGGAGCTTCATGCTTCAGCACCGGGGGGTGGGGGTGGAGATCAGGCAGGGTCGGGGGTGGCGTGCGTCCCGGGGGGCATGACGCACTGCCCGCAGGGGCATGGCGCACGTCCTAGGGGCAGGGCACAGCGCCTGCAGGGGCGTAGCGCCCAGCGCAGGGGGGGCTAGCCACGATGGCACCCTACTGGGATCACGCTGCCGGGGGCAGTGCACTCCTCTTCCTCCGCCAGTGTGTGCTAGATATTATTGATAGGAAACTGGTAGTAAGTAGGCAAAATGCTTTTGTAAATCTTTTACAAAACAGTTTGTAGGAAATAATAGGCCTGAATTCATGGTTGTAAATGTGGGTTTATAGCTGGTTCTCTAAGACTGACTTGTACATTACAGGAATTCTTCTTTCTGAAACCTTTTTCTGAGACTAGTGTTTACCTAAAACTTTTGCTATATGCATGATGAACAATATTTCTTCTTTGCTCCTAGGCTGTTACAACTGTTCAGAGCATGACTACTATAATCCTAAGGAGAAAAAATGTGTGCCTTGTAGCGGTAGGTTAAAAAGTCCACTTTCAAATTCCTTGCTTCCAACATTTCCTATTTTAAGAAGCATCATTTATACTGAAATCCTTTGCATGTTTACTGATTTCATTGGGACTTTTTCCCTAATGTGGATTTTTTCCCTAATGTGGATATACATAGGATTACACTCTTATTTAACCGTCTTATTTAAGACTCTTATTTAACCAGAGGGCCTCTTAAAGCTGTCATTGCATTATCTTCACTTATTCATTTGTTTGTTCTTAACTTTAAGAAATGTACTGTACTATGTCTACTAGAGTCTAAAGTTTAGGTGATTCAGGAATGATGTGTATACAGTGGTTGATGAAAAAGTAGTAAAATTATAATTAGCTAGGATTAGAACATCCTGATATTGCATATCCTAGTCCCACACTCTAACCACTATACCACAATAAATTAAAACTTCTCAAATTACTTAAATCCTGGAATTCTAGATTACTTCTTCATATGCAAAGTTGTACTTTTACTATTGAAATAGGAGGAAAAATATATTATTTGCAGAAATCCTCATTATGGAAAAAGTATATAGCTGAAATAATAATAATAATAATAATAATAATAATAATAATAATAATAATAATATAGCAGTGGTTAGCATCACAATACCATCAACAAATTAGAGTCACTTAACATTCAGTAATTTTTCTACACAAATGTTGTTTCCATGCAAGAAAACTAAATATGTAAAAGTCTATATTTATATATACGTTTTTCTGTTGTACAACTCACATTTGTCTTTTCACCAGGTCCAGTTTCCCCAACTCCTCCATTACCAACAACAAGTGAGTATAAGATTTTGAAATGTATATTTCAAAGTATGTAACACTGAATGTAATGTCTATTTTGTATAGGGATGAGAAATGATCCATTTGCCAATATTGCATAGCAATAATGGTGATTATGATGATGAACAGAAGACACAGATATGATGATCTATCAAATAAAATCCACTGGGGGGAATCAGAATTATTTACATGAATTAGATTGGATTAAGCAGATGATCAGAGCATATTGCACATGCAGTCCTCTTCAATACTTCATCCGTACTTTTGCATGCTCTTGTCAATTCTGTGGTATGGACGAGTAAGAAATCTTCATCATAGAAAAGCATAGCTAGTATAACTTACTACTACTACTACTACAGAGGTTCCCATCACAACACCATCAACAATGTAAGAGTTGGTTCACATTCAGTGATTTTTCTACACAGATGTAACTTCCATGTGAACTCTGTATCTATATGGGTTTTTTGTTGCACAACTGTAACTGACATGTGCAACATGCGACTTGGTGAAACAAGTGTTTACTGTATGTGATGTGTCCACATGGTCTCCTGCCACTAAAGTTATTTGCATATAGAGGTTAAAAATGAAAAACACTCCTAAAACACTCAACCCCTTTGATTTTATAAAACATTGCATATTCCATTTTATACTCACTGCTACATTGCACTCACAGTTTTATACTTACTATTTTAGCTTTTAAAAACTGGTTTTATTGATAATTTTATGGTTTTATTCTTCTTTTAAATGGCTTAGTCCCCCACCCTCCTTACAATCAATAATAATAATAATAAAATTTTATTTATATCCCGCCCTCCCCAGCCGAAGCTGGGCTCAGAGCGGCTAACAACAGTAAAATAATACAACATTCTAAAATCATTTCATTATAAAATTAATTCAATTAATTCAAGCAGTACTGTCGACTTGCAACCTGCACAAATTTAACGTGTGTGAATACGCATCACTGAAAAAAGAGGCAGGGCAGGCATTTGGAGGGGAGGACATTGGCAATACCACCACCCCACCCCACCCAATTTGGAGGTGCAGTGATCATTGGAGACTGTGTGATAGGCCTTAGAAGAACATTTGGAGGGTTTTTATTTTATTTTTTGCTATACACAACTTTGGCTTTTACACACTATTGCTGGAACGTAAACCCCACATAAGTTGAATTGACTATATATAAATTGTAGGAAACAAATAAATAAAATATAAAAAATTATTTCCACCAGGTTCACTTTCTCCAACTACCCCATCACCAACAACAAGTGAGTATAAGATTTTAAAATGTGTATTTTAAAATATATGACACTGAGTTTAATGTAAAGTCTGCATAGTGGTAGGAAACAATCAATTTGCCTGTATTGCATCGTAATAATAGTGGTGATGATTATGATGGTGAACAGAAGACAGAGATATGTTGATCCATCAAATAAAATCCATTTTGGGGAAATCGGGTTTATTTACAGGAACCACCCTTTCCTAGGTTAGAATCATAGCTGTCAACGTTTCCCTTTTTTTAAGGGAAATTCCCTTATTCCCAATAGGATTTTCCCTTTAAAAAAAGGAAAAGTTGCCAACTATGGTTAGAATCAGCAGGTGATCAGTGCATAGTGTATGAGGATGAACATCTCACACATGCAGTCCTCATCAATACTTCACAATATGGATGGAGATGCATGCTCATATCAATCCTGTTACATGGACGAGGATGCTTATCCCCATCTACTATAGGCACATGATTGTGATCCTCAAATCATTGGTTGTGTGTTACTCATCATATGTTAACACCTTGTCATTTGCAAATATGTATGGAACTAAGAATTTGGTTATTTAGACTCTGCAGAGACCACAGCCCAAAGAGCCAGACATCATCTACATGTTCTCATATGAAGTATTGATTCAGTCTGGTACCTTTCATAGTGAATTAATTTACAGCCTTTGGCAGTTGTAATGTTTATTTTTTTAAAATGTTTCTCAAAGAAAGAATAGAAATGGGATATATTCATATGGGCAAAATAATTCACAGATATATAGAGTACTGAGCCAAACACACACAGGGTTATGTGCACTTTGTGCAAAAAAAATAAAAATCAAAAGCTGCGCACTGCAGAAAATTTGTGAATAAAGTGATTTTGCATGTTGTTGCCTATTTAGTATGTAATCATGGAGGAGAGACAGGGCTGCAGACATCCAGATTTTATATGTTAGGCAATCCCAAGGCCAAATTGTGCTTCCACCCTTCCATTTGCTTTTTTTTAAAAAATGAACCCAGTGTTTGACCACTTCTCTCCTCATCTTCTTACATCCCTATTCCCTGCTTCTTTGTGTTTCTTGTGACACTAGTTTCACACTGCCAGTTTTATTTCAGATGCATTCTGGGGAAAATGGTACCCAAAAGCTCTGATTCAGGCACAACAAGCAATAGTGTTGAAAGTTGGGGTGTCAAGAGAAAGGAGTTGCCATTGCTCCACAATAAATGGCCCTAAGTACCCCCCTTCCTCCACTCCTAAAACCAAAGTGAGCTGTTTTACTTCCTCCCTGAAAATGGTTGGAATGTTTCCTCCCCCTGCTCGGCAGTTTACCACTTGGGAATGGTGTGTGTGAATTGAACAAGCAAGAATTCTGATGTTTCCAGAACCCTTTGATTAAAAAAAAATAATACTTGACTACATGAATGAAATATACTGGTGTTCTCAAAACTCAGAAGCTCCTCAATTTTATATTCTACATTATGCTCACACTTCTTCTCTTTCCCATAGCTCCAACACGGACCACAGCATCTCCGAAAACAGGTGAATATAAGAGTTTAACACATGCTACTTACAGGTATATAAGTTACACTCTTGTGCACTGAAAGCAAGAAGTCCATTTTCCAGTATTGCCCAATGATAACAAAGAACATAAAACACATGTATGCTGATCCCACAAGTGTGATCTGTGAGGGGAATGAGACTTTCACTGCTGGGTCTATTTTGGATGTGAATGAACATTCGCCACATGCAGTCCTTGTTATTCCTGCACAGTTTGGATAGCTATGTATGTTATCATCCATCCTGCAATCAGGATGGGGGGAAATGAGTTTGTGTAACAAGTTGTGCATAATTCAGTATGTCCCAACATATTGTTATATGCTACTGTTTCCAAGGTGCCAGAAGCATCTTACATTTAGATTCAGCATACAGGTAGGTGGCCGTGTTGGTCTGCCGTAGTCAGAAGTGTGCATGCACACGAAAGCTCATACCAATAACAAACTTAGTTGGTCTCTAAGGTGCTACTGGAAGGAATTTTTTTTATTTTGTTTAGATTCAGCAGTCATTATAGTCACAAGAATCACACTTGCCATCTATATTTTCTTTACATGAGATAGTAACTGAGGCCACAGTCATATCCTCATGTACCATGGAGCAATTCCCAATGAATTCAGTAGGATTTACCGTACTTCTGTGTAGACATGTTCAGGGAGGGACGCGGGTGGCGCTGTGGGTTAAACCACAGAGCCTAGGACTTGCTGATCAGAAGCTCGGTCCCTGCTCCTGCCAACCTACCAGTTCAAAAGCACGTCAAAGTGCAAGTAGATAAATAGGTACCGCTCCGGCGGGAAGGTAAACGGCGTTTCCGTGCGCTGCTCTGGTTCGTCAGAAGCAGCTTTGTCATGCTGGCCACATGACCCGGAAGCTGTACGCCGGTTTCCTCGGCCAGTAAAGCAAGATGAGCGCCGCAACCCCAGAGTCGGTCATGACTGGACCTAATGGTCAGGGGTCCCTTTACCTTTAGACATGTTCAGGACTGTTGATAGCTGTTTTATAATTCGAGTTTGAAGTGGAATTGCAAACTATGTTTTTTCCATGAAAGAAGGCACAAGAGGAGGGTGGAGCATATGAGCTCAAGGCCTGTTCACATAACATGTCATGTTACATCTCAACAACCCTGTGTTTATAGAAAACTGATACTAAATCAAAATAAATAAATGGATCACATCTGTCTGTCTTTGCATAGTTGCCAATGGGAAATCTTAAAATACTTTGACATTACCTTCCTCTTGAAGAGGTTTCTGAAATTAGTCGTGGAAAACAAGATGATATTTAAACCAATGAGCCACTTTTGAGGGGTTGTACAATTAAATAGCCAAGATGCCTCATGGTATGCTATCAATAATAAATGTTACCAATATGTTACTCAGAATCCCAATCTCACACATTTAGATTCCATTAACCACACAATAAAGAAATGGTTTCAGTGCTGTCTCTGTGAATAATAATTATTCAATGAGACCTCGATTAATCATGTATTTTAGTCTCATTAAAATATGAATGCTGTGTGGATTGTTTGCACTCCTTAATTGAAATGTATTTTTCCACTTCTGCTTTGTAGCTCACCCTCATCCTGTTACAGAACCGCAAGTCAAAGTAACAACAACAGGTCAGTTCTATTATCCGTTTTGGTTTCTTGCTGATTACCTCCAACAGATGGCTATCCAGGCACTGTTTGAAGACATCTGGGAAGCGAGGGCTTATCCTCTCCCCCACCACCTGTAATTGGTTTCCTTGTCTAGCTATTAACAATTTGCTGGCAAGATGGAGTCTCTGCAGGTGAGTGTTCCCCATGTCTGAAAAATAGTCCAAATGCCTGCCCTGGATGGGGCTGTACTCCCTCAGGAGGAGCAAGTACACAATTTTAGGGGTGCTTCTGGATCCAGCTTTGTCACTGGTGGCCTAGGTGGCTGTGAGTGCCTTTTATCAGCTTCAGATGGCTACAACCCTTTCTGAACCTGGATAGATGGACCACAGCATCTCAGGAATGGATACATTTGAGATAGGGTTACTTCCCTAGGGGCTTCCCTTGTACTTGATCCAGAAAGCACAGCTGGTGCTGAATGGTGAAGCTTGATAGCTGTCAGGAGTGAGACCCTGTCAACATATTATGCTCCTATGAAGAGATCAGCATGGGCTGTTGATTTGCTACCAGGTCAAGATATTATTATTTTTTTTAAAAGATATTTATTAAAGTTTCAAACAATAAAACAAACTTCACAGCACAGAGTAAGAAAAAGAAAGAAAGAAAAAAACACACCATTCAAACTACAGCAAAACAGAATAAAAAACCCATCCTAAAAAACAAAAGAAAAAATACATAAAACAGAAAAAGCCGATTTCTTAGATATTATTCTCATAATCCTCTTTCCAGACTCCCTCGCATCTCCCTTTTCTGTGTTCCCCTTTACAAAATCTTATTCAGCAATACCTCACCTTCTTTCAAATCTTGATTCATATTATACATTTCAACTATTATGCCTCCAATTTTTCCAGGTCAAGATATTATTAATACAGTGGTACCTCGGGTTAAGTACTTAATTCATCCCAGAGGTCTGTTCTTAACCTGAAACTGTTCTTAACCTGAAGCACCACTTTAGCTAATGGGGCCTCCTGCTGCCACCGCACCGCCGGAGCACGATTTCTGTTCTCATCCTGAAGAAAGTTCTTAACCTGAGGTACTATTTCTGGGTTAGCAGAGTCTGTAACCTGAAGCGTATGTAACCTGAAGCGTATGTAACCCGAGGTACTACTGTAGTGTATAAAAACCTCAGGAACTTTGGACTAGACTAGTTTACTTAAAGGATTGCCTTAGCCCATGTGGCCCATTTGACGAATTTGATCTGTCAAAATGATGGTTTTACAAGTGCCACCTAACACTTCCTTTCAGCTTGCGATGAATCAATCCTTCATTGTGGTAGCACATATTCTCTGGAACTCCCTGCCCACTAATATTATTGTGCTGTACTGTTTTCAGTACCTGTTTAAAATATATTTGTTTAGGAAAGCCTAAAAAGACATACAGGATGATAATCAGATAAGGTAATCAGCTAAGAAGGAGGCAAAATGAAATTTACAGACCTAACGTAGCCATGCTTATTAATTGCAGTAAGTCTGCTCTGAGTAAACCTTAGTTGAATAACACCCCCCCCCAAATTAACTTGTAACTTTATTTCATATATTCATTCAAGCCAGCTGATTTTATATTTTGAGAATATCTATGACCATTTGTTTTTAATGTTTGATTCTATTCGTATTAAAAGCAGTATTTTACATTGTTCAATATAAACTCCATGGAGGTTTTTATTGATTTAAAGGTGAATAATTTTAAATAATTAATTAAAACATGGTCCCAAAGAAACACTATATAAGCCTCATAACCCTAATTAAAACTTGCTGGTTCTCTGCAACATAAAACAACAACAGCTCCATCTAGGAAGCAGGCTGAGATCCTACCTGCCTGCAGACTGTCTCACCAGAGTGGCACATGCTCTGGTTATCTCCCGCTTGGACTACTGCAATGATGAGCTCTATGTGGGGCTACCTTTGAAGGTGACTTGGAAACTAAACTAATCCAAAATGTGACAGCTAGACTGGTGACTGGGAGTGGCTGCCGGGAACATATAACACCGGTCCTAAAAGATCTTCACTGGCTCCCAGTACATTTCCAAGGACAATTAAAAGTGTTGGTGCTGACCTTTATAGCCCTAAACGGTTTCGGCCCAGTATACCTGAAGGAGTGTTTCCACCCCGATTGTTGAGCCCGGACACTGAGATCCAGCTCAGAAGACCCTCTGGCGGTTCCCTCACTATGAGAAGCAAGGTTAAAGGGAACCAGGCAGAGGGCCTTCTCGGTAGTGGCGCCTGCCCTGTGGAACGCCCTCCTATCAGAAAATAAGTCAAGGAAATAAGCAACTATCTGATGTTTAGAAGACATAAGAAGGCAACCCTGCACCAGGAAATTTTTAATGTCTAATGTTTTACCATTTTTTATGTGCTTCAAGCCACCCAGCGTAGATGGGGAAACCCAGCCCAGTGTGCAGGGTATAAATAAAATTATTGTTTTATTATTAACATAAGCAGAGAAAGCAAAACTTATCCAGTATGTCTGTTACCAAGGCAAAGCAAAAACAAACAGTTGAAACAATATACCTTAAAATAATGAATGCCAGCACAGAATAATCCAAATTACAAATAGAAACAATACAGAAAAACTGAATACATGAAACATCAAAAAGAAAAAATAACAATAAAGTTTATCAATAATCACTGAGCTGTAGTGCTTTCACTTTCAAGAGCATATCCTCAAAGGAAATAGGTTATTACAGGATTTAAGAGAAATTGCTTTGAAAATAAACCCATGTCGCGTTAGAATGTTGTATAAAATGGATTCAACTAAGTTTTCTCACAGTAGACACACTTAAGTAAATAAACCTGGGTTCATCAGGTTACCACATTATTTCATGGAATCTCTTATCCTGCAGAGACTGCGCCAACAAAAGCAACAAGCACCAGCAGCACAACATTAACTTCGCCAAAGGCAACATCGCCCATAAATACAAAGAGCACAGAATCAACGACGCTAAGACATACAACACACACAACAATGATTACAACTCCACAGAAAACTATTTCAACAGCAAGCACTTCTGTACCAACAACTTCCAGAACTACAGCATTAACACAAACGGCAACAACAAGGAGGCCAGGGACCACAATCTCCACAGCGACTACTGAATCCACTGTAACAAGCAAACACACTCCAACAACCACGACAGGACCCATGCCTTCCACAACACCGGTTACTTCAAAACCCTTAACGAAAACTAGCACTCCAGCACCCACTGCCACAACTCTCACGACTGCTCCCCCTACCAGCACAGAAACGCCCAGCACTCCGGCCACCACAACTCCTGCAACCACCACCGTCCCAATTACCACGGGTAAGTCTCCTTGGTCGCTCTGCAGCAGCAGCTTACAAGTCTTTCAGGAGCCCTCTCTTACCAAAGGGGCAGAGGGATTCCCACCTCCAGGTCCCACGTAAGCCAGCCCTCCAAAAAGGGCGAGACTCGTCTGGCTCAGTCATCCGGGAACCTGTTCCTCATGTCCTCGTGTGGCGCCCTGGGCAACCCAAAATCCCAGCCGTGACAGGAGCCCGCCTTTTCCCTCTCCCACTGCCACCTATGTGACTTTGCTCTTTTGTGTTCCAGAAACACCAAAACCACCGCTTCTGTTCCACCACCGGTGCCTACAGGTAAGGGCGCTGAGCGTGCCGAAGGAGCTCTGCTTCTCTCCTTCTCTCCTTCCCCCGTTCCCACGTGTGGTCGCCCCCTTTCACTTGCTTTCTTTCTCCTTTGCAGTCACCACACCTTCGACAACCAGACCGCCAAGCAGCACGCCGAAAACCACGCCAACCACCTCTCCCTCCACCACATCCAGAACCACTGCATCAACTCAGACGGCAACCACCAACACGCCAAAGACCACTGCAACAGCCTCCACACCACCCACCTCTACGCATCACCCCAAAATCCTAACCACCACAACCCCCTCCACCACGACAGAATCCACTGCGACTAGCACACCAACCCCGACAACCACAACAGCACCCGTGCCCCCCTCCACACCGTCTCCTCCGACGCCGTCCACCACAACCACCACCACCTCGCCCACAACCGTCACCTCCACTTCCACCAGCACTCCAGTACCCACTGCCACAACTCTCACGACTGCTCCCCCTACCAGCACAGAAACGCCCAGCACTCCGGCCACCACAACTCCTGCAACCACCACCGTCCCAATTACCACGGGTAAGTCTCCTTGGTCGCTCTGCAGCAGCAGCTTACAAGTCTTTCAGGAGCCCTCTCTTACCAAAGGGGCAGAGGGATTCCCACCTCCAGGTCCCACGTAAGCCAGCCCTCCAAAAAGGTCGAGACTCGTCTGGCTCAGTCTTCCGGGAACCTGTTCCTCATGTCCTCGTGTGGCGCCCTGGGCAACCCAAAATCCCAGCCGTGACGGGAGCCCGCCTTTTCCCTCTCCTACCGCCACCTATGTGACTTTGCTCTTTTGTGTTCCAGAAACACCCAAAACCACCACTTCTGTTCCACCACCGGTGCCTACAGGTAAGGGCGCTGAGCGTGCCGAAGGAGCTCTGCTTCTCTCCTTCTCTCCTTCCCCCGTTCCCACGTGTGGTCGCCCCCTTTCACTTGCTTTCTTTCTCCTTTGCAGTCACCACACCTTCGACAACCAGACCGCCAAGCAGCACGCCGAAAACCACGCCAACCACCTCTCCCTCCACCACATCCAGAACCACTGCATCAACTCAGACGGCAACCACCAACACGCCAAAGACCACTGCAACAGCCTCCACACCACCCACCTCTACGCATCACCCCAAAATCCTAACCACCACAACCCCCTCCACCACGACAGAATCCACTGCGATTAGCACACCAACCCCGACAACCACAACAGCACCCGTGCCCCCCTCCACACCGTCTCCTCCGACGCCGTCCACCACAACCACCACCACCTCGCCCACAACCGTCACCTCCACTTCCACCAGCACTCCAGTACCCACTGCCACAACTCTCACGACTGCTCCCCCTACCAGCACAGAAACGCCCAGCACTCCGGCCACCACAACTCCTGCAACCACCACCGTCCCAATTACCACGGGTAAGTCTCCTTGGTCGCTCTGCAGCAGCAGCTTACAAGTCTTTCAGGAGCCCTCTCTTGCCAAAGGGGCAGAGGGATTCCCACCTCCAGGTCCCACGTAAGCCAGCCCGCCAAAAAGGGCGAGACTCGTCTGGCTCAGTCTTCCGGGAACCTGTTCCTCATGTCCTCGTGTGGCGCCCTGGGCAACCCAAAATCCCAGCCGTGACGGGAGCCCGCCTTTTCCCTCTCCCACCGCCACCTATGTGACTTTGCTCTTTTGTGTTCCAGAAACACCCAAAACCACCACTTCTGTTCCACCACCGGTGCCTACAGGTAAGGGCGCTGAGCGTGCCGAAGGAGCTCTGCTTCTCTCCTTCTCTCCTTCCCCCGTTCCCACGTGTGGTCGCCCCCTTTCACTTGCTTTCTTTCTCCTTTGCAGTCACCACACCTTCGACAACCAGACCGCCAAGCAGCACGCCGAAAACCACGCCAACCACCTCTCCCTCCACCACATCCAGAACCACTGCATCAACTCAGACGGCAACCACCAACACGCCAAAGACCACTGCAACAGCCTCCACACCACCCACCTCTACGCATCACCCCAAAATCCTAACCACCACAACCCCCTCCACCACGACAGAATCCACTGCGATTAGCACACCAACCCCGACAACCACAACAGCACCCGTGCCCCCCTCCACACTGTCTCCTCCGACGCCGTCCACCACAACCACCACCACCTCGCCCACAACCGTCACCTCCACTTCCACCAGCACTCCAGTACCCACTGCCACAACTCTCACGACTGCTCCCCCTACCAGCACAGAAACGCCCAGCACTCCGGCCACCACAACTCCTGCAACCACCACCGTCCCAATTACCACGGGTAAGTCTCCTTGGTCGCTCTGCAGCAGCAGCTTACAAGTCTTTCAGGAGCCCTCTCTTGCCAAAGGGGCAGAGGGATTCCCACCTCCAGGTCCCACGTAAGCCAGCCCTCCAAAAAGGGCGAGACTCGTCTGGCTCAGTCTTCCGGGAACCTGTTCCTCATGTCCTCGTGTGGCGCCCTGGGCAACCCAAAATCCCAGCCGTGACGGGAGCCCGCCTTTTCCCTCTCCCACCGCCACCTATGTGACTTTGCTCTTTTGTGTTCCAGAAACACCCAAAACCACCACTTCTGTTCCACCACCGGTGCCTACAGGTAAGGGCGCTGAGCGTGCCGAAGGAGCTCTGCTTCTCTCCTTCTCTCCTTCCCCCGTTCCCACGTGTGGTCGTCCCCCTTTCACTTGCTTTCTTTCTCCTTTGCAGTCACCACACCTTCGACAACCAGACCGCCAAGCAGCACGCCGAAAACCACGCCAACCACCTCTCCCTCCACCACATCCAGAACCACTGCATCAACTCAGACGGCAACCACCAACACGCCAAAGACCACTGCAACAGCCTCCACACCACCCACCTCTACGCATCACCCCAAAATCCTAACCACCACAACCCCCTCCACCACGACAGAATCCACTGCGATTAGCACACCAACCCCGACAACCACAACAGCACCCGTGCCCCCCTCCACACCGTCTCCTCCGACGCCGTCCACCACAACCACCACCACCTCGCCCACAACCGTCACCTCCACTTCCACCAGCACTCCAGTACCCACTGCCACAACTCTCACGACTGCTCCCCCTACCAGCACAGAAACGCCCAGCACTCCGGCCACCACAACTCCTGCAACCACCACCGTCCCAATTACCACGGGTAAGTCTCCTTGGTCGCTCTGCAGCAGCAGCTTACAAGTCTTTCAGGAGCCCTCTCTTGCCAAAGGGGCAGAGGGATTCCCACCTCCAGGTCCCACGTAAGCCAGCCCTCCAAAAAGGGCGAGACTCGTCTGGCTCAGTCTTCCGGGAACCTGTTCCTCATGTCCTCGTGTGGCGCCCTGGGCAACCCAAAATCCCAGCCGTGACGGGAGCCCGCCTTTTCCCTCTCCCACCGCCACCTATGTGACTTTGCTCTTTTGTGTTCCAGAAACACCCAAAACCACCACTTCTGTTCCACCACCGGTGCCTACAGGTAAGGGCGCTGAGCGTGCCGAAGGAGCTCTGCTTCTCTCCTTCTCTCCTTCCCCCGTTCCCACGTGTGGTCGTCCCCCTTTCACTTGCTTTCTTTCTCCTTTGCAGTCACCACACCTTCGACAACCAGACCGCCAAGCAGCACGCCGAAAACCACGCCAACCACCTCTCCCTCCACCACATCCAGAACCACTGCATCAACTCAGACGGCAACCACCAACACGCCAAAGACCACTGCAACAGCCTCCACACCACCCACCTCTACGCATCACCCCAAAATCCTAACCACCACAACCCCCTCCACCACGACAGAATCCACTGCGACTAGCACACCAACCCCGACAACCACAACAGCACCCGTGCCCCCCTCCACACCGTCTCCTCCGACGCCGTCCACCACAACCACCACCACCTCGCCCACAACCGTCACCTCCACTTCCACCAGCACTCCAGTACCCACTGCCACAACTCTCACGACTGCTCCCCCTACCAGCACAGAAACGCCCAGCACTCCGGCCACCACAACTCCTGCAACCACCACCGTCCCAATTACCACGGGTAAGTCTCCTTGGTCGCTCTGCAGCAGCAGCTTACAAGTCTTTCAGGAGCCCTCTCTTGCCAAAGGGGCAGAGGGATTCCCACCTCCAGGTCCCACGTAAGCCAGCCCGCCAAAAAGGGCGAGACTCGTCTGGCTCAGTCTTCCGGGAACCTGTTCCTCATGTCCTCGTGTGGCGCCCTGGGCAACCCAAAATCCCAGCCGTGACGGGAGCCCGCCTTTTCCCTCTCCCACCGCCACCTATGTGACTTTGCTCTTTTGTGTTCCAGAAACACCCAAAACCACCACTTCTGTTCCACCACCGGTGCCTACAGGTAAGGGCGCTGAGCGTGCCGAAGGAGCTCTGCTTCTCTCCTTCTCTCCTTCCCCCGTTCCCACGTGTGGTCGCCCCCTTTCACTTGCTTTCTTTCTCCTTTGCAGTCACCACACCTTCGACAACCAGACCGCCAAGCAGCACGCCGAAAACCACGCCAACCACCTCTCCCTCCACCACATCCAGAACCACTGCATCAACTCAGACGGCAACCACCAACACGCCAAAGACCACTGCAACAGCCTCCACACCACCCACCTCTACGCATCACCCCAAAATCCTAACCACCACAACCCCCTCCACCACGACAGAATCCACTGCGATTAGCACACCAACCCCGACAACCACAACAGCACCCGTGCCCCCCTCCACACCGTCTCCTCCGACGCCGTCCACCACAACCACCACCACCTCGCCCACAACCGTCACCTCCACTTCCACCAGCACTCCAGTACCCACTGCCACAACTCTCACGACTGCTCCCCCTACCAGCACAGAAACGCCCAGCACTCCGGCCACCACAACTCCTGCAACCACCACCGTCCCAATTACCACGGGTAAGTCTCCTTGGTCGCTCTGCAGCAGCAGCTTACAAGTCTTTCAGGAGCCCTCTCTTGCCAAAGGGGCAGAGGGATTCCCACCTCCAGGTCCCACGTAAGCCAGCCCTCCAAAAAGGGCGAGACTCGTCTGGCTCAGTCTTCCGGGAACCTGTTCCTCATGTCCTCGTGTGGCGCCCTGGGCAACCCAAAATCCCAGCCGTGACGGGAGCCCGCCTTTTCCCTCTCCCACCGCCACCTATGTGACTTTGCTCTTTTGTGTTCCAGAAACACCCAAAACCACCACTTCTGTTCCACCACCGGTGCCTACAGGTAAGGGCGCTGAGCGTGCCGAAGGAGCTCTGCTTCTCTCCTTCTCTCCTTCCCCCGTTCCCACGTGTGGTCGCCCCCTTTCACTTGCTTTCTTTCTCCTTTGCAGTCACCACACCTTCGACAACCAGACCGCCAAGCAGCACGCCGAAAACCACGCCAACCACCTCTCCCTCCACCACATCCAGAACCACTGCATCAACTCAGACGGCAACCACCAACACGCCAAAGACCACTGCAACAGCCTCCACACCACCCACCTCTACGCATCACCCCAAAATCCTAACCACCACAACCCCCTCCACCACGACAGAATCCACTGCGACTAGCACACCAACCCCGACAACCACAACAGCACCCGTGCCCCCCTCCACACCGTCTCCTCCGACGCCGTCCACCACAACCACCACCACCTCGCCCACAACCGTCACCTCCACTTCCACCAGCACTCCAGTACCCACTGCCACAACTCTCACGACTGCTCCCCCTACCAGCACAGAAACGCCCAGCACTCCGGCCACCACAACTCCTGCAACCACCACCGTCCCAATTACCACGGGTAAGTCTCCTTGGTCGCTCTGCAGCAGCAGCTTACAAGTCTTTCAGGAGCCCTCTCTTGCCAAAGGGGCAGAGGGATTCCCACCTCCAGGTCCCACGTAAGCCAGCCCTCCAAAAAGGGCGAGACTCGTCTGGCTCAGTCTTCCGGGAACCTGTTCCTCATGTCCTCGTGTGGCGCCCTGGGCAACCCAAAATCCCAGCCGTGACGGGAGCCCGCCTTTTCCCTCTCCCACCGCCACCTATGTGACTTTGCTCTTTTGTGTTCCAGAAACACCCAAAACCACCACTTCTGTTCCACCACCGGTGCCTACAGGTAAGGGCGCTGAGCGTGCCGAAGGAGCTCTGCTTCTCTCCTTCTCTCCTTCCCCCGTTCCCACGTGTGGTCGCCCCCTTTCACTTGCTTTCTTTCTCCTTTGCAGTCACCACACCTTCGACAACCAGACCGCCAAGCAGCACGCCGAAAACCACGCCAACCACCTCTCCCTCCACCACATCCAGAACCACTGCATCAACTCAGACGGCAACCACCAACACGCCAAAGACCACTGCAACAGCCTCCACACCACCCACCTCTACGCATCACCCCAAAATCCTAACCACCACAACCCCCTCCACCACGACAGAATCCACTGCGATTAGCACACCAACCCCGACAACCACAACAGCACCCGTGCCCCCCTCCACACCGTCTCCTCCGACGCCGTCCACCACAACCACCACCACCTCGCCCACAACCGTCACCTCCACTTCCACCAGCACTCCAGTACCCACTGCCACAACTCTCACGACTGCTCCCCCTACCAGCACAGAAACGCCCAGCACTCCGGCCACCACAACTCCTGCAACCACCACCGTCCCAATTACCACGGGTAAGTCTCCTTGGTCGCTCTGCAGCAGCAGCTTACAAGTCTTTCAGGAGCCCTCTCTTGCCAAAGGGGCAGAGGGATTCCCACCTCCAGGTCCCACGTAAGCCAGCCCTCCAAAAAGGGCGAGACTCGTCTGGCTCAGTCTTCCGGGAACCTGTTCCTCATGTCCTCGTGTGGCGCCCTGGGCAACCCAAAATCCCAGCCGTGACGGGAGCCCGCCTTTTCCCTCTCCCACCGCCACCTATGTGACTTTGCTCTTTTGTGTTCCAGAAACACCCAAAACCACCACTTCTGTTCCACCACCGGTGCCTACAGGTAAGGGCGCTGAGCGTGCCGAAGGAGCTCTGCTTCTCTCCTTCTCTCCTTCCCCCGTTCCCACGTGTGGTCGTCCCCCTTTCACTTGCTTTCTTTCTCCTTTGCAGTCACCACACCTTCGACAACCAGACCGCCAAGCAGCACGCCGAAAACCACGCCAACCACCTCTCCCTCCACCACATCCAGAACCACTGCATCAACTCAGACGGCAACCACCAACACGCCAAAGACCACTGCAACAGCCTCCACACCACCCACCTCTACGCATCACCCCAAAATCCTAACCACCACAACCCCCTCCACCACGACAGAATCCACTGCGACTAGCACACCAACCCCGACAACCACAACAGCACCCGTGCCCCCCTCCACACCGTCTCCTCCGACGCCGTCCACCACAACCACCACCACCTCGCCCACAACCGTCACCTCCACTTCCACCAGCACTCCAGTACCCACTGCCACAACTCTCACGACTGCTCCCCCTACCAGCACAGAAACGCCCAGCACTCCGGCCACCACAACTCCTGCAACCACCACCGTCCCAATTACCACGGGTAAGTCTCCTTGGTCGCTCTGCAGCAGCAGCTTACAAGTCTTTCAGGAGCCCTCTCTTGCCAAAGGGGCAGAGGGATTCCCACCTCCAGGTCCCACGTAAGCCAGCCCTCCAAAAAGGGCGAGACTCGTCTGGCTCAGTCTTCCGGGAACCTGTTCCTCATGTCCTCGTGTGGCGCCCTGGGCAACCCAAAATCCCAGCCGTGACGGGAGCCCGCCTTTTCCCTCTCCCACCGCCACCTATGTGACTTTGCTCTTTTGTGTTCCAGAAACACCCAAAACCACCACTTCTGTTCCACCACCGGTGCCTACAGGTAAGGGCGCTGAGCGTGCCGAAGGAGCTCTGCTTCTCTCCTTCTCTCCTTCCCCCGTTCCCACGTGTGGTCGCCCCCTTTCACTTGCTTTCTTTCTCCTTTGCAGTCACCACACCTTCGACAACCAGACCGCCAAGCAGCACGCCGAAAACCACGCCAACCACCTCTCCCTCCACCACATCCAGAACCACTGCATCAACTCAGACGGCAACCACCAACACGCCAAAGACCACTGCAACAGCCTCCACACCACCCACCTCTACGCATCACCCCAAAATCCTAACCACCACAACCCCCTCCACCACGACAGAATCCACTGCGATTAGCACACCAACCCCGACAACCACAACAGCACCCGTGCCCCCCTCCACACCGTCTCCTCCGACGCCGTCCACCACAACCACCACCACCTCGCCCACAACCGTCACCTCCACTTCCACCAGCACTCCAGTACCCACTGCCACAACTCTCACGACTGCTCCCCCTACCAGCACAGAAACGCCCAGCACTCCGGCCACCACAACTCCTGCAACCACCACCGTCCCAATTACCACGGGTAAGTCTCCTTGGTCGCTCTGCAGCAGCAGCTTACAAGTCTTTCAGGAGCCCTCTCTTGCCAAAGGGGCAGAGGGATTCCCACCTCCAGGTCCCACGTAAGCCAGCCCTCCAAAAAGGGTGAGACTCATCTGGCTGAGTCATCCGGGAACCTGTTCCTCATGTCCTCGTGTGGCGCCTTGGGCAACCCAAAATCCCAGCCGTGACGGGAGCCCGCCTTTTCCCTCTCCCACCGCCACCTATGTGACTTTGCTCTTTTGTGTTCCAGAAACACCCAAAACCACCACTTCTGTTCCACCACCGGTGCCTACAGGTAAGGGCGCTGAGCGTGCCGAAGGAGCTCTGCTTCTCTCCTTCTCTCCTTCCCCCGTTCCCACGTGTGGTCGCCCCCTTTCACTTGCTTGCTTTCTCCTTTGCAGTCACCACACCTTCGACAACCAGACCGCCAAGCAGCACGCCGAAAACCACGCCAACCACCTCTCCCTCCACCACATCCAGAACCACTGCATCAACTCAGACGGCAACCACCAACACGCCAAAGACCACTGCAACAGCCTCCACACCACCCACCTCTACGCATCACCCCAAAATCCTAACCACCACAACCCCCTCCACCACGACAGAATCCACTGCGACTAGCACACCAACCCCGACAACCACAACAGCACCCGTGCCCCCCTCCACACCGTCTCCTCCGACGCCGTCCACCACAACCACCACCACCTCGCCCACAACCGTCACCTCCACTTCCACCAGCACTCCAGTACCCACTGCCACAACTCTCACGACTGCTCCCCCTACCAGCACAGAAACGCCCAGCACTCCGGCCACCACAACTCCTGCAACCACCACCGTCCCAATTACCACGGGTAAGTCTCCTTGGTCGCTCTGCAGCAGCAGCTTACAAGTCTTTCAGGAGCCCTCTCTTGCCAAAGGGGCAGAGGGATTCCTACCTCCAGGTCCCACGTAAGCCAGCCCTCCAAAAAGGGCGAGACTCGTCTGGCTCACTCTTCCGGGAACCTGTTCCTCATGTCCTCGTGTGGCGCCCTGGGCAACCCAAAATCCCAGCCGTGACGGGAGCACGCCTTTTCCCTCTCCCACCGCCACTTATGTGACTTTGCTCTTTTGTGTTCCAGAAACACCCAAAACCACCACTTCTGTTCCACCACCGCTGCCTACAGGTAAGGGCGCTGAGCGTGCCGAAGGAGCTCTCCTTCTCTCCTCTCCTTCCCCCGTTCCCACGTGTGGTCGCCCCCTTTCACTTGCTTTCTTTCTCCTTTGCAGTCACCACACCTTCGACAACCAGACCGCCAAGCAGCACGCCGAAAACCACGCCAACCACCTCTCCCTCCACCACATCCAGAACCACTGCATCAACTCAGACGGCAACCACCAACACGCCAAAGACCACTGCAACAGCCTCCACACCACCCACCTCTACGCATCACCCCAAAATCCTAACCACCACAACCCCCTCCACCACGACAGAATCCACTGCGATTAGCACACCAACCCCGACAACCACAACAGCACCCGTGCCCCCCTCCACACCGTCTCCTCCGACGCCGTCCACCACAACCACCACCACACCGTCCGCCCACAACCGTCACCTCCACTTCCACCAGCACTCCAGTACCCACTGCCACAACTCTCACGACTGCTCCCCCTACCAGCACAGAAACGCCCAGCACTCCGGCCACCACAACTCCTGCAACCACCACCGTCCCAATTACCACGGGTAAGTCTCCTTGGTCGCTCTGCAGCAGCAGCTTACAAGTCTTTCAGGAGCCCTCTCTTGCCAAAGGGGCAGAGGGATTCCCACCTCCAGGTCCCACGTAAGCCAGCCCTCCAAAAAGGGCGAGACTCGTCTGGCTCAGTCATCCGGGAACCTGTTCCTCATGTCCTCGTGTGACGCCCTGGGCAACCCAAAATCCCAGCCGTGACAGGAGCCCGCCTTTTCCCTCTCCCACCGCCACCTATGTGACTTTGCTCTTTTGTGTTCCAGAAACACCAAAAACCACCACTTCTGTTCCACCACCGGTGCCTACAGGTAAGGGCGCTGAGCGTGCCGAAGGAGCTCTGCTTCTCTCCTTCTCTCCTTCCCCCGTTCCCACGTGTGGTCGCCCCCCTTTCACTTGCTTTCTTTCTCCTTTGCAGTCACCACACCTTCGACAACCAGACCGCCAAGCAGCACGCCGAAAACCACGCCGACCACCTCTCCCTCCACCACATCCAGAACCACTGCATCAACACAAACCTCCGCAACTAACACGCCAAAAACCTCTCCAACTAGTTTGATTTCTACGGCGTCCAGCATGACAACACATTCTCCCATGCAAACATCCTCTACTTCAATTCCATTTACATCTACTCTTTCTACTACTCCCATTATTCCGGTCACAAGCAGTTCTCCATTGTCATCCAGTACTAATATCATTAGTATTCCAGTAACTACCCGAACTAGTACTTTGAGTAGTAGTACTCAGTCTTTGAAGACAACCTCCACATCATATACCTCAACTGTATCTCCTGGTGAGCTTCTATTTCATGGAAATGTTTTTTGGTTGAAATGTGGTTTTTGTATTTCTCGAACTTTTACGTTGACTATAGTCACTGCATCATCATTTTGGAATTTTGTTCTAGAACCCCTCCGCTTCTTTACCATCTGTGCAGATCCACCCCTAATTTTCAACTTTTTGTATCATACAGGATAAATATCTTTTCACAGGTCACACTTTTCACAGTATTCTGTGGTACTGCTCATTCAACAATGTTCATAGTTTCTTTTTTTAGGATTAATGCTATACTTTCTTTTTAGTTCATTTCTATTTTATTTTTCCTTTTATCCAATTTGTTCCGTTTTTTGTTAATTTTTACAAATACCTAGGTAGCTGCCTGTTTAGTTCCACATCTTTTTAGAAGGCACAACCTAGCACAATATGTTCCTGGAACAGGAAAGTGCAAAGCAATATTTGTTCTCCATTATGTACACTAGAACTGTCATCTTATATGAATCAACACACAGATGTAAATTAAATGGGCCTTATTCCCCTGTATCTGTGTAGAACTGCAGCCTAAACGTCCTTGTGGGGGAAAGCATTTGAATGGGTCTGTCCCCATCCAACAGCCAGATCACTTGATTTTCAAACTCATATATTAAAAGAAGGAAAAAGTTTGGTCTCAAGATCTTTATTGTTAGTGACTTTGGATGCAATCCTGACTTCGCAGAATGAACAACTTATTTTCTTTAAATGGACTCAGGATTATACCCATATTATTTTGTTTATGCATGTGTTTTCATTCAGACATTTTGCTTTTATTTTTTCATTTTTACAGGCAGCACCCCTAAAATAACAACTACCACCACAACCTCAAATCATAGGTTACCTAAACTAAATTAATGGTCGAAATGTATAAAAAAATTGTCCAGTAGCACCTTAGAGACCAACTAAGTTTGTTCTTGGTATAAGCTTTCGTGTGTATGCACACTTCTTCAGATTTCGTGCATGCACACAAAAGCTTATACCAAGAACAAACTTAGTTGGTCTCTAAGGTGCTACTGGAGAATTTTTAAATTTTTTAATACATTTCGACTGCGTCAGACCAACACAGCTACCTACCTAAATAAATGGTCTAAGTGAAAGTGGTTGCCTTCCTAAGGCTATAGTCACCTGCATATGTTTCAATGAGAATAAGCCCATTGAAACCATTGGCACCTTGTCCCAAGAAAAGTATGCTTAGACGTGGGTTGAAGTACAGATAAGTTCTTCGACTTGCGAGCTACCCTTTCACATATGTCAAAATGTTTTAAATGTTCTTTAACAATAAAAATCAAATTATTTCATTTATAACGGTTAAAGTAACTGATTTCACAAAATTGTCACCATACATGGATTTACAAATAGCATTAAGGAAGGCCATATACCTGCTCTCATAAACATGAAAACCTAAAGTAGTACAGACTTTAAAAGGACCATAGCACTCAGCTGAGACTAAACAGGGGATACAACTGATAAAGAAATGTATTATCCCTTTTCACTGGATTCAATATCAGCAGTTTCCAGATGACAGAAAATACCAATCATCTATATTGCCATAAGATGATTCACCACATTTCCAGTGCTGCTTGTATATTAACTGTTTTATTTCATGTCTTTCAGGGAAGTGTGAATCTGTTGAATATGAAGATCAAGTGGTTTACAAGGGTTGTGTTGCAAATGTCACTTTGACTCGCTGCGAAGGAATGTGTCCAACATCATCAAGGTGAGTATGAATCGGTGTCAATTTGGCCAGCCACTATGACTTTTGTCTTATTACATAATCAAAAGTAATAATCTGTAAATATTACCAAAGTCAATTATTTCCATTGCTATACAGCAGCTAGATATTATATAGTACATTGCATTCCATTATCCTATATTGCATTTCTTTTTTAAGATATAGTATATAACTTGCTTTAAACTAGTGAATGATCAGTTCTGGTACTAATATTCCCAGTTATGGTTCTGCCATTCCTGTCCCAAAATCAAATCCTACAGAGGTACAGTTCACATTATTGTTTATTTATTTAAAAGATGTGGGACCTCCATTTAAGAAGTCCTGTTTATGAACGATTCAGTTTACGAACTCCACAAAACCGGAAGTAATGTTCCAGTTTGCGAACTTTACCTTAGTCTGTGAATGGAAGCCGAATGGTAGAAGGGCACTGGTGGCGGGAGGCCTCATTAGGGAAAGCGCGCCTCAGTTTAAGAATGGTTTCGGTTTAAGTATGGACTTCCAGAACGGTTCGTAAACCGAGGTACCACTGTACCACCTTTCATCAACAAATCCCAGCATAATTTACAACTTGTTAAAACAATCTGGTATCAATAAGTATTATAAAAACCACAAAGCAGTACAATGGTGCTTGCAATAGCAGGATGGAGGGCAATAGTATTCTGTTCAACATCTCTTGCTCTTGGTAATTTCTGAGATACTCCAGATCTATAGCTTTGTATCTTCAGGGTTTTGCTGCTGAACAGGGGTGGGGTGACATACCCTCATGGGTGAACTTCTGGGGAGCCACATGTGGATGATAGGTGGGGCCAAGGCCCAAAATGGGCAACTTCAAAGCCACACACACAAACACAGAAATCCATACATACACACTTCTAGGACCTTCTCCCAGATGAAGGGTATTTTTATCCCCAACCGCTCCACTGCCCTGCCCCTCACCCACCTGGCAAGTGGAAATGCTGCTGCTGTTGGGAGGTGAGGAACATGGCGTTCCCCCCTCCTCATTGGCTACTCCTGAGAATGGCAGGGAGCGAGGCTAACTTGTGCAACCCCCTCACATAATAAAACATCAAACATTAAAAACAGTTGGCAGTTCTTGCAGGTTTATCGGGGTGTCATATGAGCCAATTACACATTTTTAGATGTTTTATTATGTTTTATATTTTGCTGGAGGCCAGCCAGTCAGATGGGCAAGGTATTATTATTATTATTATTATTATTATTATTATTATTATTATTATTCCTCTCACAGGCTAAATGTTGCCAAGATGATGGTACACACAGAGTGTGGGTGCTGCATGCCACTCACACTCTACAAGAAGGAGCTGACGATGCCTTGTCCAGACCCAGAGAACCCACATATGCCACTTGTTACAGAAATCATCCTATTTGGTGGCTGCGTATGCAACTACAATGGATGTACGCACGAGGCAGACTCAGCTTCCTCAACCGTACAGGGATTGTTTAGAAAATAATGATCGGTTATTACCTACTTTGCAAAAAGACATTTGACACTCAACATCCCTTCGTTCATATGGATTTCTCCAAGCTTTGGGAAGGCAGGCAGAGTATACTTCCAAGAAGACTGGTACTGATAACATCCTTGGCTAATTTATTCATCATTTCGGATGGAATAAATATCTGCCTTGCTCAGAAAGTTTCCACCAAGCAACGTCTACCGGACTATGTATTGTAAAATAGTTAAATAGGTTTAATAAAGAGTTTAGTTGGTCATTCTCATTTTCAGTGGTGAGTAATTAATGAGCATACTCCTGTATATCGGCATTCCCTAATCTGATGGCCAAAAGTCAGGGATGTTGGGAGTTGTAGTCTAAAACAGCTGGGTGGTATCAAGCTGCTGTTTGCTACTAAGCAAACTCATTCTTTGAGCATGCATCCTCCATAGCCAAAACAGCACCATCCCTACACAAGAGAGAGAGGTATCATCAGGTTCAGGGAAGTACAAAGCAGCTATAGAAAAAATGTAGGCAGTGCTGAGGAGACCTTAAAAATACCTCCGTAAAGACTGAGCATGTTCAGTCAACATGGAATGCTGACTGATGGGTTGTGCATAAATCTGGAGGGGAGCGAGTAATGGAACAAACTATCCTAAAAAAGGGCACAGCGTCTGGTTGGCTGGAATCCTGAACAGGAGCATGCCACACTGCACCATTTTTCTGAAGGTGCTACTGAATCTTGGAATGTTCATCTCTGCCATAATGCCAGTTTCTCTAACAAACACTCAATAGACACTATTAAGTGGCAAAAATAGAAAAAGCAGTCAGGTTCAGAGGAGGAGAACAAGTATGGCTTTGAAGGCTACGTGAAGATGCATGCCGATGGAGAAAGGGCATGCAAAGTGGGTGGGGAGATAGATAGATGATAGATAGATAGATATAGATGATAGATAGATAGATAGATAGATAGATAGATAGATAGATAGATAGATGATAGATAGATATAGATAGATGATAGATGATAGATGATAGATTAGATAGATAGATAGATAGATAGATAGATAGATATAGATAGATAGATAGATGATGATAGATAGATATAGATAGATAGATAGATAGATAGATAGATAGATAGATAGATAGATAGATAGATGATAGATATAGATAGATGATAGATAGATAGATAGATGATAGATAGATTAGATGATAGATAGATGATAGATAGATAGATAGATAGATAGATAGATAGATAATTTATTTAACCACCCCTCCTCCCAAGATCCCATGGCGGTTCACAACATAAAATTACAAAATGAGAATACAAAATACCTAACCAATAACTCCCCTTCACACAAACACAATTAAAAATCCATAGACTGTTAATCAGCTGAACACCCAGTACTGAAATATATGTAATGAAGGTGCTTTATAGGTCAAAACCAGCACTTTGAATTGGGCCTGGAAATTAATTGGTAGCCAGTGCAGTTGGGCCAGGATCGGTGTAATATTCTCAAACCGTCTAGCTCCAGTGAACAACCTGACCACTGAATTCTGCACCAGCTGAAGTTTCTGAACTGTCTTCAGAGGCAGCCCTGCGTATAATTTGCTTCAGTTTTTTGCTCTCATCCAGTCCATTACTGAGGCAAATCCAGCACATCCATTGCCTCATCTGCAAAGAAGTAGAGAGCTGTGTGTCATCAGCATATTACTGACAACATATTCCCAAACTCCAGATAACCACACTCAGCAGTTTCATGTAGATGTTAAACAGCATAGGGGATAAAATCAAACCCTGAGGAACCCCACATTGAAGGCTCCATGGGGCCGAAGAGCACTCCCTAAGCATCACCCTCTGGAAACAACTATCCAGGTATGAATGATTACATATGAATGCACTCCTATGGGATATTGTGGAAGTGTGTAATGTTAGGATAGCAATTCATGCAGGTCATGAATTAAGTGGAGGCACTTGGCTTATCACAACAGATAAACAGATTAGGCTAAGATGCTTGTCCTAGATTTTAAGGGGCTTTGGCCTTAAGTGCAGATTGGTTTAGATGAAGTTGTGTATAAGGTTTCAGCACTTTATAAGAAATGGTTTTGTGCTTACATTTGCTTAAAGGCATATATTTCTCCCTCACAGTTTTCAGTGTGTTAGATGAATTAGCCATAAAAAGTGTTCAATAGATTGCCAATAAAGTCAGGATGCATCAAAACACGAATGGTGTCCCCATATTATTTTATAGAGGTGGGGATAGAGGAGCAACTCTAAACTTGTGCTTTCTTGATCAAGGACCAATATTCCAAGTCGCACATACAGAGTGATTGTTTGGCAAGCTGAAAGCAGCCTACCTCTCAATATCTTCCATAGAGGTCCACGCCGGGGCTGATTCCATGCTGTGTTTATTTCACTGTGTTAACCGAAACCTAAGTGGAAGTTTCAGGAAGTTAGGGGCGAAAGCAGAATAAACTAATCTTAACAAAGAGCAATAATATTACCACCGTTACAAAATTGGAAGCTGCCCAGCATACCTGTGGATTGCCTGAAGTTGCCTTCAAAATGACCAGATCATACAGTGGTGAAAGAAAATGTGCCACAAAAGACCCCTCATAAAACGAGAACCAGCTCCTGGGCAAGTTGTGACATTAACGGCTGTATCTATGGAAGATCCCAGATTCAATGCATGGCCTCTCCAGGTAAGGGTGGGAGAGAGAGCACCTGCCAGGTAGTGTGGACAGCAGACCAATCAGCTAGATAAAGCAATGGTTGGACTCTGGATAAGGCAGATTCCTGTGTTCATATTGAACAAGGCAAATGTTTTGCAGTCTTAGCAGTGAGACATGAGAGCTGTACTGTTATGGGCAATGGCCTCTTCCAAATCACATACATTTACACGTGGCTAATGAATGCACACAGAGTACTATTGATCCAAGAAAATCTGTATACAGTATTTGGTTGATACAGAGAGGGCTGGGATCACCTGCAGTGTGTTAACGTCCATCTTTCCTTAAAATGCTTCATGCATCTTACCTTTTCTCATTTTAATAATAATAATTTATTATTTATACCCCACCCATCTGGCAGGACTTCCCCAGCCACTCTGGGTTGCTCCCAACAGAATATTAAAAACACGATAAAACATCAAACATTAAAAACTTCCCTTCTTATGTCTACTAAACATCAGATAGTTGTTTATTTCCTTGACATCTGGTGGGAGGGTATTCCACAGGACGGGGGCCACTACCGAGAAGGCCCTCTGCCTGGTTCCCTGTAACATCGCTTCTTGCGGTGAGGGAACCGCCAGAAGGCCCTCAGCGCTGAACCTCAGTGTCCGGGCTGAACGATGGAGGTGGAGACACTCCTTCATTTTAAAAGCCAACCCCACTATGACACACTTTAAAGCCTATAGGCAATGCCACTACCCAAGTGATAGCATCACCATAGCAAACCAAAAGGGGCATCTTAAGCTCGTGCGAGAAGGACAGGACATGCAACACATACTTTGGCTAGAACAGGACAAGGGGAAGGAAGATCAGTTAGGATTGACTATGGAATCAATTTTCTATGCTGAGAAAGTATTTATAAACAAACATCTTCAGGTGACAAACCTTATTCCAAGGGAACTACTCCTAACCAAGGCTGCTTGAAATTCCTCAGTAAGGCCTGAAATTATACTGCTCCTCGGGGCCATTTTTCAGCCGGAACTCTCTGGAACTCAGTTCTGACACCTCTCAGGTGGACGCCATTGCTATTCTAAGAGAACGAAGGAGGCATTCAAGGTGAGTTCCGGCACCTTTTTCTAGAAAAATAGCACTGCTGCTCCTTTAATTCTTAACCCTACTTTTCAGCTTCACTTCCTGCTTCCTGTTTGGCCCTCCGTTCAGTACAGTGGCACCTCGGGTTAAGAACTTAATTTGTTCTGGAGGTCCGTTCTTAACCTGAAACTGTTCCTAACCTGAGTTACCACTTTAGCTAATGGGGCCTCCTGCTGCTGCTGTGCCACCACCGTGCGACTTCTGTTCTCATCCTGAAGCAAAGATCTTAACCCGAGGTACTATTTCTGGGTTATCGGAGTCTGTAACCTGAAGCGTCTGTAACCTGAAGCGTCTGTAACCCGAGGTACCACTGTAAAACACAGCTTGCCGTTTGTTTGGGGACCTTGCAAGTTATTTTATAGTTGCAATATTTTCTTCTTTAAACAGCCATGTCTGCTAATTGTCAAATCGCTATTTTCTAAATCCTAGACGCTTCTGAGCTCAGACAGAGCATTATGGCTTATATTAGCCTCATCTGCCATCAGCATTCAATCACTCCTGGAAGCTTGCAAATCCTTGTCAGGTTGTGGGCTTTTCTCCTAATTCAAACTTCTATACTTCTACATACCCAGGCAGCCTCTCTAGTAAACTACGGTACTACCTTATATTTGGATGCTCTCATTTTGCCACGGGACACTTATTATTTATTTATTTTTATTTTTATTATAGCAGAGGTGCTCCACTAAAGCCTAACAGCTACTCATTCATTACATTACATGTCCTGCAGTTCTACTTCTGCCAAGCCAAGGAGTGGTCCTGAGACTTGCATGTGCCCTGCCCCCACCTCTTAGCACTACTAGAAGTAGGTGAAGTACAGATCCATGTGAGCTTCATTTCTGTCATTAGATCAGAGAAAATGTGAGCCAGGAAGCACTAATGCAGGGAGCCCAAGAGGCTAATGTCTTCATCCAACCTCACTCTAAGCAGATCCCTAAAGACCCAGGAAAAAAAAGGGGGGAAAGGGAATAGCTTGGGGGGAAATGAGTGATATAATAATAATAATAAATAGCATATTTAGCTGGAAGGCGCTGAGTTATGAGTTTGCTGGCTGGGAAACACTCAAAAGTACTCTGCTTCAATGGTCAAGAGGACTGGAGAGTTGCAATAAATAAATCAGGGCCAAAGTCTTTGTCCTATGCAATCAGGCTTTCGTTTCCTCTGCACAGTAGGTGGTGATGTTTTGTATTTATCTAAATCGTAATTCTGAACGCTGACTGTAAAATGAAATTTTCACATTTGTTAGCCCTACTAGGTAGGAAAAGAAGTCATGCTCTGGGAATGAAAATAGGAAAGGAATTTTTACTCTTCTAGCCATTTATTTTTTTCCATTAAAGATAACATGATTAGTTTTTTTATATACTGTATTTTCAATTTTTTTACAGTCATAATAATCAAAACCCACCATATAAGCTTGTGATTTTTATTTTTTTTACAAGTGAGATGACTACACATTACATATTGGAGTGTAGGCCTAAAAGTGCACAATATTTTGTCTTCCTGTTCAGGTATTTTCACATGTCAACAAAACAAATACTGTACCTTAATTACTAATACTGCTTTAGCCACAGAAACTGTTAACTTCTGCTTGAGATGGAGGAGGACACACAACTTTGGTAAATCAAGGTCATTTATCCCAATAAAGAGAAACTTTTTTAAAAAAAAGTTTTCTTCAAAACAATGCCTATATGGCTCATATCAGAGGTGAAGTCTTGCATAAAGTTTGATTACTCATATATACAGTTGGTCATTGAGCCACCTATATTTAGAGTCCTTTTTCTCTATGAATGATATCCAATGTTAGTCATACTCTGAGAAAATCCACTGAAGTCAATGGACTTATCTAAGAAGTCCATTAATTTCACATGGCCTACCCTGAGTATAATTTAGTTAAATATCACCCTTTGTGGATAAAACCACATTTATTTGCAAAAATTATACAAGTGAACAGTACACAAAAACAGTGTATTAAGGTGGAATTAAAAAGGAGACAAACTATGCTTCCAGTGGGACGGATCTATGTTAAAAATGAGATGGCCGTTCTTCCCAGCATCTGCGATAAGACACACTTCAGAACACCTCTGAATGCTTAATACCATTTACAGTAGTGTAATCACAGTAATGCAATGGGCCTGTCATAATGACAACTCCTAAAAATTTCCCCAGTGATAGGAGAATGTAAGAGTTATTGTTTTATTATTTTACCAGGTTACACACCAGGTAGTTCCATACAATGTGCTTCAATATAACTCATCAAATTTGATTGGAGAAGTTGGTCAATATGATTCTGATCCAATAGCCACATTAAAAAGGAAAGTGGATTTTCAGTTTTTATAAGTTAATTCCAGACACTGGGACAGAATAAGCCACGTTGTTGTTTGTTAAAACGCCTCATAACTTAAGCAGCAACTGTCACTTGTAATCAAACAACATTGTAGCTTATTTTACTTTTTTAATTTTTGCATTGCCTTCGTATATAATTGTAGTCATAAATTACTTCTTAAGGAGCTCTTCAGAGGTGTGTAACGGTAGTCAGTTTAACGATCATTCTACTTCTGTCAAAGAAGATGCCAGTTCCACAGCATGCTCCACAAATGCATAGATCTTACCAAACTACAGGTGCCATTACTACACTTTTTGAAAACAGGACTGTCAAGTTCTAGACCAAAAGCGTTCTGGTGACATGACAAGCATTTCAAAGCAATAAGCTTCCTGCCCATCATACTTGCAGAAACCCACAGTGTATTTCAAATCTGAATAGGCTAAACTCTCCCTGATTAGAGCTAGTGGCTATCCCTATGATTCAGAAGATGTTAAATGGGAAAAAAATACTTTTTTTTTTTTTGTTAAACTGGAAAGTGCGGGGGGGCAGGAATACCAATGCCTTGGGTTGCTTGGAAAGTCTTAGGTAAAAGAATACTTCAAGTGATTTCTTAATTTAAAGTCAAAGTGTACTGATGTTTAGATGATCAACCAGAGCTTTGGAAAAAACAACAACAACATGTTGTACCCAAGAACCCAATGTGGTTTTCTTACTTAAGCATTTATCATGACGATAACTCTTTGGTAGTTCAGAACTTGGAGAAAAGTGGAGGCCTGGGATTTAAAGGAAGTCATTTGAGGATATTAAAATATGAATCAGAATATGTGCTTATGCCTCCAAATGTTCTTTACAGAGCAAATACTTATAGCCATCTTCAGATGTATCTAGATCCTTTAAAAAGGACATGGGGTAACATTCAATAGAGCAGGAATGGAATCTAGCCCTCTCTGCACACCAACTTCTCTTTCATACCTTTTTTTCCTTCTTCTAGCATGCCTCTAGCAATTTACAGTGGCATTTCCAGCGAAACTGTTTCATTTAGTTGGGATTAACCATACCTGAAGTGATTTTTAATAAAACAACTCCTGCCAAAAATATATGAAGCACAGTTGAGTTGAGACACACAAGACCTCCCACACACATACAAGACCTCCCAGCTTCTTTGCACCAAAAATCTAAGAGTCATTTTATTTTTTTTCACATTTAAGTAATTTTATGTTGCACATATCATTTGTTTCACATAAAAAGGGACAGGTCCTTTAAGGCAGGGATGTGAATGGGGTGGCAATTATTTTTGCAGACACTGGTGTACAAAACATTTTTGGAGCAGGACATGGACAATGGCAGAAATGGAGAATCAGAAGGGGTTGCACATTATGGCTCAGAACTGTTCCGAAAGTAATTCACATAACCTTCGGGACACCGTTTCTTTACTTGTCCGTAGTGTTAATCTGTACATCTGGAAAAGAACAGAAGAACAACTTTTCAGTGGCTGCCCCCCAAAAAACGCCCCCCCAACACATTTATACAGGTAAGATCTGAATGGAAGTGAACAGTGGCTGGTGGTGTACATTTAAAAACACAAAATCTTTGCAACATTTAATTATTTATGTCCTATTTGTGGCCTTTTCCTCATCAACTTTCTAAAGAAAGTTTTGGACCACAGGCTGGCTGGGCAAACGGGGCTCTCCTTGGGTTCTCAGCAGGGGTGCCATCTAGGACCTCCCCCCGCCCCACAAAGCCTTACTTTACAGCGAGGCCCAAATGAGATGCCAGGATATTTTTGGTGCCCTAGAGGGCTGATCCCATGAATGCAACATCCAGTAATATTGTACTCACACCTGATGAAAGTGTTTCACTCACTGAGAGATAACCAAAGATGTAGCTAAGAACCAGTGCCAGAATTTGCCTATTGCCCCTTCTACCCTCTCCCCCCTCTTCTGTATCATGTATTTGGTATTGCAAGCCTTAGAACAAAGACTGTTCCATGACTAATCTTTGTAAGCTCTCTGGGAACTTTTTTAGGCTGGAGGGTGGGGTATAAACACCAATAGTGTCATTACATAGTTTAGTCACCAGGTGGCAGTGGACTGAGATGTATCTGTGTGGAATTAAGGAGTTTCCTTGTTTAAGAGAGACGGACAGACAATAAAAAATTTTGTCTGGCTTCCTAGCTGGTGTGTCTCCAAAATCTTCCGCTGCAAGTATAAACTGGTGCATCGTTACCACTTGGCTCATTTCCCACCGCTCACAAAATGACATAAGAGTCACAGACTCATTGTTAAAACCGTGTTTATGGAAGACAATCTTACTTGGCTACGAGTGATCGCCAAAGAAGACGACAACAACCATGAAAAAAGTAGAGCTTTTTGGAGAAGCAGTGCTGTACGTTTTAGTACAACAGCATTTTAAAATAACCCAGTTATCCTTTAGAATGAAAATGAAGTATACTTTGGGCTGTACATAATCATAAAAAGGGGGGGGATAAGAAACAACTTCCACAAAGGTATCACACAAGGAAATAAGCTCCCTACGTAAAGGCAAGAAGAAAGTGCTAAAGATGTATGAGCATACAGAGAATGTCCCACTAGATGCTGCTACTGAGAGAAGCTGGCAGAAGGGTGCTCATCCTACCCCTTGAGGCAAGTGAACCTGAGAAACATGGTGACATGGGAAGCTGCCTCATAAACAGATCATTGGTCTAACTAGCTCAGTACTGCCTACACTGACTAGCAACCACTCACCAGGATTTCTGACAAGTGTTCCACTACCTGGAGATGCCAGCGACTGAACCAGGCATCTTCTGCCTATAAGGCATGTGCTCTAAGGCCCTTTACTTTTAGAGCTCTAGAGCAGGGGTCAGCAAACTTTTTCAGCAGGGGGCCGGTCCACTGTCCCTCAGACCTTGTGGGGGGCCAGACTATACGGGGGGGGGGGGATGAACGAATTCCTATGCCCCACAAATAACCCAGAGATGCATTTTAAATAAAAGCACACATTCTACTCGTGTAAAAACACCAGGCAGGCCCCACAAATAACCCAGAGATGCATTTTAAATAAAAGGACACATTCTACTCATGTAAGAACACACTGATTCCTGGACCATCCACGGGCCGGATTAGAATCATAGAATCATAGAGTTGGAATAGACCACAAGGGCCATCGAGTCCAACCCCCTGCCAAGCAGGAAACACCATCAGAGCACTCCTGACATATGGTTGTCAAGCCTCTGCTTAAAGACCTCCAAAGAAGAAGACTCCACCACACTCCTTGGCAGCAAATTCCACTGTCAAACAGCTCTTACTGTCAGGAAGTTCTTCCTAATGTTTAGGTGGAATCTTCTTTCTTGTAGTTTGGATCCATTGCTCCGTGTCCGCTTTTCTGGAGCAGCAGAAAACAACCTTTCTCCCTCCTCTATGTGACATCCTTTTATATATTTGAACATGGCTATCATATCACCCCTTAACCTCCTCTTCTCCAGGCTAAACATGCCCAGCTCCCTTAGCCGTTCCTCATAAGGCATCGTTTCCAGGCCTTTGACCATTTTGGTTGCCCTCCTCTGGACACGTTCCAGTTTGTCAGTGTCCTTCTTGAACGGTGGTGCCCAGAACTGGACACAGTACTCCAGGTGAGGTCTGACCAGAGCAGAATACAGTGGCACTATTACTTCCCTTGATCTAGATGCTATACTCTTATTGATGCAGCCCAGAATTGAGAAGGTGATTGGGCTGGATCTGGCCCCCAGGCCTTAGTTTGCCTACCCATGTTCTAGAATGTTCCAGTCTAGTTCAGCAGAGGCGTAGACTTGCATGTGGCACTGCACACAGGCAAATTAGTCACAGCAAAGCAATTTTTACCACTTGTCTGCCAGGTATTATTTCCAAAGCAGGGTCTCAAAAGAATGCATTATGTCTTATGTTAACCGAGGAAGCAGAATAATTGCACAGCTGCTGGAACCATAGAACAGCCGCAAGATATTTCACTCTGTCTTGGCTGATTGTTCCTAGAAAACAACCTCAGACATAATATTGGCTGATGCACGCTAGAGTCACAGAAGTGGGCATAGTAAAACTATGTGGTATATTTTTAAAAATCTCTTCCGTTTTGCTCTTCCACACTTTCAAAACATTCAGCAAGTAAACAAGAAGCCATTACCTGTGCCTGCAGGTTGGGTTCAAGACGCATCAAACATCCAATCTGGAATGATTTTGTGTGGATTATGCCGGCTCCGACAAAGTTAGCAGGATTGGGATCTACTTCTTCCAGTAACGCTGTGCCAAAGCCAATAATCTGCCAAAGGAAAGCCAAAAAGGGGATTTGAACCAGAGACCATGAAAAAGAAAGAGCAGGTGGTGAGAAAGGAAGGAAAGGGGCCTTACAAAAGATGGGCTTGGTCAACATGCTGAACACACGGCAGGTCAAATGGTGGTCAACAACCTCCATGCAGCCCCTCACAACCAGACTCTGAACTGGGGCTCCACAGATACATTCTTGCAGGAATGTCTCCAATTGTAGTGGGAGCATATCTGTGGAGCAGTGGTTCTTGCACTAGATTTTCCCCAAAATGCCTTGTATTGGACTCCTTGCATGCTTTCAGAATGGGTTATTTAAGTTTCAAGAACTCAGCTGCTTTGATTGCTGGCTACAACTCATGAGGCTTCTACCTACAAAAAGCAGACAACAGACAGACATCTGGAAGAACCACCCTACAAAGTCTAAACCAGGCTTCCTCAACCTCAGCCCTCCAGATGTTTTTCAGCCTACAACTCCCATGATCCCTAGCTAGCAGGACCAGTGGTCAGGGATGATGGGAATTGTAGTCTCAAAACATCTGGAGGGCCAAGGTTGAGGAAGCCTGGTCTAGGCACAAACAAGCCTTTGTGCTCTGAAAGGAACTGGTAACATTTGGCAGTTTACATTTCATGTACTTCCCCCTACCACATGATTTTCTCACATTAGGCATAGATACCTGCAGGAAGAAAGCCTATTTATTATGTGCAGGTCTCTATGTGCAGAACCTTCCCCAGAACTTAGCACCCCAACTGCACATAGGCATCTCCACTGCAAATATCCATACCTCAGTTGTGTGTGTAAGTGGGCTTGTATGTGGATAAAATTTCCTGTATGCTTCTCCAGATTCTCTTTTGTCAGAAATGAGCAGTACTCAGAGAAAAGGCTCACAGTTGTCCATGGAATGATATCCCGAAGTCAAAGCTCATGTCCTTTGGAGGGGCTAGGAAAAGAGCTTTTTTATTCTTATTTGCCCAGAACTTTAAAAAATGCAATTTAAACTGGGTTTGATTCTGCTGCAGTGTGTGTGTTTTTACATGCATTTACATTTTTGTTTTGACATTGCTTGACACATTTTATTTTATTGCAGATGATTTTTATTTTCTGGCAAAGCACCCTGGGAGCAACAGCAATGAAGTGTGCAGGTTATAAATGCCCAAGTAGCAATGGTGATAACGATCTCAATTGTGCGATCATCACCTTGTGATGGTGAGTAATCTTACTCGGCTATGAGTGATAGCCGAAGGAGGAGGAGGAGGAGGAGGAGGAGGAGGAGGATAACAGCCACCTGCTACCCACCTTTGCCTTTGTAATTTCGGTATCCATTGGATGGTTTGCTTTAAAGATGTTCTGCACTTCCTGTTGAGGGCTGCAAAGTAGCACCAAGGTTAAAGTAGTTAACATTTGCTTTGGTTTTACAGTACAAACATGAGAGAGTTAGGCAGCATTTCATATAGAACCAGCAAATTAGGGGTGGTTAAAACTGAACCTATAAAAATTGAGGCTTGAAGCAGTTTTTCGCTGCAGGGTTACATCAGCTTCCTCCTGCCTTCACAAAAAGGACATCATTCAGCCAATGAACCAAATATTGATTCAGCAGTCTGTTTTGCCTCCTTCCACCCAACCCACCCACAATTCAGGTAGGTTGACCACCTTTTAAAAATCAACTAAAATGTTAAATTTACATGTAAACTTATCAAGCAGGACCAGTTTTTAAAACACTGCAAAATTACCCTAGGGGATTGGGAAGAGGGAAAGATATGGATCATTATCAATTACTGACAGGAACATTCAGCAGATCTGGTAATTGACACATATGCTCTGGTGACACCCAAACTGGATAACTGGAACACGCTCTGCATACAGTGTCCTCTGAAACACTTTTGGAAATTTAAACTGGTGCAAAATGGTTTCTGGAGTCTACTTTACTGATCACCTCACTCCAGTTTTGTTGCAGCGGCTCCCAGTGTTTTCCCAAGCACAATTCAGGCACAATTTCCCAAGCACAATTCAGGCTGCTGGTTCTTGCCTATAAAGCCCTAAACCATTGATGAGGAAGCTGTGGCCCTCCAGATGTTGTAGACTCCTGCCATTCCTGACTACTGGCCATTCTGTGTGGACCAAAGGAAACTGGGAGTCCAACAACATCTAGAGGACCACAACCCCCAG